CTAATGTATGTAAAATGCAAATAAATGAATTTTTAAAAAGAATGGTATTGCATTGTGTTTATATAGCACTTTATTTAACCATGCCTTTATTCGTGGATTTGTAGCTGTTTCCAACCATTTCGAGAAAAAATTTGTGTGTGTGTGTGTGTGTGTGTGTGTGTGTGTGTGTGTGTGTGTGTAAAACCTCGTTTTCTTTGTAATTCTTTTATGTCCAAGTGTAGCTAGAGTGGTCAGAAATGAGAGCAAGGATTCTGGGTGTGGGTGACAGTGGACCCTGGCTCCACCCCTCACTTTATATATAACTTTGGGCTGTTACTCCTCTATGTTCTTGGTCCCACATCACCAGAAACTTAGGGATTAGTGTAGAGATTCAATGAGCCTCCATATGTAATTGCAATTCTACTAGTTGTCAGCCTCACTGTCTTTAGAATAAATTCCCAGATACTTAATTACTAGGTCAAAAATAAAGAACAATCTTGGTGATTCCTAGTGATTTTTTTTTTTTTTAAAGACAGAGTTTCACATAGCCCACAACATCCCTGCCTAAAATATAGCATAACTCACATGTGCAGTTTTAAGTTTCAAGTGACTAAGAGGATAAAAAATGAAACTGAAAAGTTAACATCCAATTTGTTACTGCGACTCACAGTTGATATAAAAACTAATAGTATTTTTATCCCCCTCTGTTCTAGGCTAAGTCTTTGCCATCTGATATCTTCTGTATGCACAGCACAAGTCAGTTTGGACTAGCCACATCTCAGGAGCTCATAGCCACATGTGGCTATTAGCTACTGCATTGGATGATGTGGGTCTAGTGCCTTATTGCTGTGTGCTTGTTGGTTGGTTATAACACTTGTGGGGCGTTTACCCACCACCCCCACAGTTCCCCAGAGTTTTCTTGAGTGCGAGCAGCAGGAAATATTAGATAGAAGGATTTATTGCGGAGAATATCGCAGAGATAAACAGATAGAAAATAAAGGATAGCCTCGAGAGGGCCTGGAACCTATTCCAACGGCCCCGACTGTCTCTGCCCCCAGGGTTTTTATAGAGACGCCAAGGGGTGGAGCAAAAGACCTCCTCCCCCAGCACAGCCAAGTGCAGACCATCTCAGACACCTGCACTCAGGCCCATGGTCCTAATCATCCTCTATGAGGACCTGCTGGGTAAAGCCACGAGGAACCCGAGAACGGGCTCCCACAAACACTGAACAAAGTGAAAAAAAATCTTTTATGTTATGGATTTCTGTGTTCGACTTCTGGTTTCTATAGATTAGGGTCCGAGTGCAAACCTGAAGAAAACTGATGACATACAAATGATTTTTATCTGCCAGAGATGTATACATCTCTATCCAGTGGACAGGATAATCCCAAAGGTTGTGGTGTACTTGCTCTGAACTCATTGTCTGTGGTGTAGCAAGATACCCTAAAACAGTACATTAAACAGCCGTAAATGCTTACTACGTGAAAGCTGCTTGAATTCTTGGAGCAATTCAAAGGGCAGTTTTCCTATGTTCTGTAGCCATTTGTTTTCTCAGGAGATGTCAGGTATTGCTTGTGTTTCCCCAGCCAACAGCATCATTTCTAGTGTGCTCTGGGTTCTTAGGCTGTTTTTAGTTTTGAACTTACATCCAAAATACAAGGGGCAGGGATGAATATTGCCTGTTGTGTTGGTTTGTTAAATAATGCAGCAGCCACTGAATCCATGTCTACCACAGCATCTTCTGCCCACACCCTCCTGCAAGACCTGATCGATACTCACCTGTGGCCAGCTCCTCCTCTGGGTTTAAGATTGAGGATTCTCTCTGTGTTTTGCTTTATATTCATTGCTACTTTTAAACTGATTTATAGTAAGGAGAAATGTGTTTTTTCCCTGAAACTTTTTAGAACTAGAAATGTCCAGGAAAGTTTTTAAATTTTTTACCTGGAGTCAGTATTAAAAAAAAAAATCTTGTCATATTGCATTATCACACTGTGCAGTAGAAACTTAAAAAAAAAATAGACCATTTGAAAAGTGCTTTGCCCCAGGCATCCCCAGCTACATGGTAATCTTAGGTCTGGGAAAACAACACCATGCTAGTGTTGGTACTTCTTCCCTTACTAGTCTACAGGCTCCTCCTGAAACTATCCACCCACATAACCATAAAATTATTATATTCTAGTGATAATCACTCACTCTATCATGATATAACATATAGTTCACATTTCAATTTTCCTAGTTACTATAGAAAAACTGATTTATTTAATGTTTAGCCCAGAATATAACCATGGTCCCTAACACTGTGTTTGGATATGATATTTGACCAGAACAGCCCCACCCCCCACCGCTCTTTCCCCCTGATTTTGTAATGTATTCTTGTTGAAGTGTTCGGGTCAGTTGCTTATTGAAATACCCAAGTGATGTTTTCCCTGTGCTCTTTCAGATGAACTCCTGACACATTCTCAGGGGACACAAATCCCAGTGTGCCTGCCACTGAGACTAGAGCACAAGGTGCAGGAACTGTTTTCATCTGAGAGCTCCATATGCCCCCCTGGTTTTACCCAGCTCAGTCTGGTGCAGCCAGAAGAAACCTTCCTGAGAAGTCTTGAAAAGGAAGGCGTTTCCTGTGCTTAGCCACCGTCTCTAAGTCTAAACCCCAACTCAGTTGTCCATGCATTATATACTTAAATTTTGAAAGCTAATTTCTATTTTCCTCCTATCTCACTGTAAAAAGCTAAATTCTCTTAGCCTTTTAAACATATGTATGCTTTGGCCTATTTACATGTGCACAATGTATAGATTTTTTTCCCCCTCTAAACTGATTGACATTTTACACATTCAATACCTGCGTCTTGACCTCGGAAGAATAGACAAGTGCTAGACAAAAAAAAAAAAAAAAAAAAAAAGCCGGGCAGTGGTGGTGCACGCCTTTAATCCCAGCACTCCGGAGGCAGAGGCAGGCGGATCTCTGTGAGTTCGAGGCCAGCCTGGTCTACAAAGCAACTTCCAGGAAAGGCGCAAAGCTACATAGAGAATCCCTGTCTCGGAAAAAAAAAAGAAAAAGAAAAGAAAAGAAAACATCTTAATATGATCTTGAAGCATTTTCATTGATACTTCTTTTTACAGTAACTTTTGACACAAATTTTAAATAATGGCTCTCTGAAGTTTGAAAGTGATGAAATGTCTTTTTTGCATGAAGAAACTGAGGTTCCCATAGATGACTCTGACGTGTCCTGTATCCCATGACTACAGACAGTGGAGAAGGAGTGTGTAAGTCAGGTGTAAGCTGTATTCCAAAGGTATGCTTTAAAAATAGTTTGTGTTTTATCTCGGTCAGTCTAGAATCTTGCCATCATTAGTTTTGACAAACATACTGTGATTCTTCGAGGAACTTATGCACTTCCTGTCACCAGTTAACAGTTGGGCGCTCCTACCCCAGGAACCTGCTTTCATCATTTTCCAAAGGCTGTTACTGTGGAAGTCTGGGGACGTTGCTGGGGAGGCAGACTGTCAACAAAAGGCTTCAACGACAGTTGCAGCTGCGCTGGATTAAGCAGATCAATGAAGAATCAATGAAAGTAGCTGCTATGCCCTGACCTACCTAATTCACTGTGAAGACTTGCCTTTGCCTTTAAAGGTAATAGCGACAGGGTACTGTACAGTGCTCTCAAGTGTGTGGCCAGCCTGGACAACCTAGGATATTAGAGGCCATCCTTGACTACACAGTGAGACTCTATCTCCCTAGTTACCCATAGTATGACGCCCCCTCCAAGAAAATAAAAGTGAAGCTGGAGAGATGACTCAGGGGTTAAGAGCACTGGTGGTTCTTCCAGAGGAACTAGGTTCAATTCCCCCAGTACCTCCATGGCAGCTAACAGCGCTAACTCCTGTTCTGGGGGAATCCAGCGCCCTCTTCTGGCCTCTCAGGGCATTGCATGTAAGTGGTACACTTGCATACATGTAGGTAAAACATCCATACCTATAAAATAAGACTTTTCTTAAAAAAGAAGAAAATCTATCTACTACAAAATGAGGTCTTGAGGAGGCGAAATTGTCCTGTTTTGCTTTGCCATGGGCTTGTCTATTTTATTTTATTGACTCTGGAAAATTGATGAAGTCACCGTTGAGGTCACCATTGGTTCTAAGTCAATGGTATAATCAAAATTGTGAAGCAGCTTCATTATGGACTAAAATTCCTCTTCAGCGGGATAATAACAATTGTGTGTGCATAATGCACCGACATACACATGCTATATACATGCATACAATACACATTGTATTTCTTTTTAGGTTTATTTTTCATTGATGCTACATTTTGTTTCCTTATCATGGGAAGACTGGAAATACAAAATTCCTTCTGTGTATAAAAACTCATAAATATCTAAGTCAAATGGCAAGTGAAATAACTCCTTCGAAAAGAAATATAAAAAGTCCAACATCCTTTAACAGGTTTCTTTCTGATTTTTTTTTTCAGAAGGGTTTCCTGTACTTGTTACCATTTTCTGTTTTTAATTTGTTAACATATATTTAGCTGTATTTATGAATAATAACATAGTGTATATACATAGATCCAACACCACTGTCCTCTGAGGTGCTTGACACTGTTCAGTGAGTATATCTCTAGCTTAATCTCAGCTCCTCAATTAATTGGCTTAACTTACTCTTCAGTATTCCCAGTCCAAATCCTTTCCCATTCCAGGGCAGATTACATCAGCTCCACCAAAGTTTTAAGACACTTGGACTAGAGAGATGGCTTAGTGGTTAAGAGCACTGACTGCTTTTTCTGGAGGACCTAGGTTCAATTCCCCGCACCCACACGGCCGCTGAAGACACTGAAACCACTTAACCTTCATGTTCTCCTGCTCTCAATTTCTAAGAACCAGAACAGAACCACCAGTGACTTTCCCAAATGAAAACACAATTGGTTTTACATGGGATGCATACATGTTAGCCCTCAACTGTGAAAGATTTTCTGACTGGTCATTTGGCATCAGATGGTCCCCTCAATGACAGACTCAGTCACCTCAATTTTTCTTTTATCTTTATTATTAGTTTTCTTAGAATCTTGCTAAGTTTCCTAGGCTGACCTCAGACTTGAGGGTCCTCCTACCTCATGTCCCAAGTGCAGGGAGTACAGGTCTGGTGTGTAATCCCAGCCTGGCCTCATCTCTGTTTCTGCACGTCATGAATCACTATTTCATAAGATAGACAGGCAAAGGAAGACATTTAAAGTATTAATATTTTAAAGGTATAAATGGAATATCAGTCCATAGTGAGGTTTATGATGATTTTTCTTTCTGTGAATATTCTTCAACTGGGGGTAAGAATTTATTAAGAAATTAAGTTATCTTTTGCATCCAGCAGTTATCTAAAACAAAAATCTTAATGTTACTTTTGGCTTTCCAAACTGGCTGTTCTTCTCACCTAGAAATTTTGTGGGTTTTTTTTTATTTGTTTGTTTGTTTTAATTTTTTTCTACTAAATTATATCCCTGGGAACTTGATTTGATTTCTTAATTAACATTCTATTTTGGGACACTTCAGAAATTGGGGAACACAATTAGGTGGCCAGGCATATAATTTTTTTCACTGTAGCTAGTATGAATATTAGGGGAGCTTGGGGGCTATGATTTCCCCTTGGTGATGCAGGGTTGGTGAGACCTAGGTGATACACACACACACACACACACACACACACACACACACACACACACACACGGCATGACACACCACAGTCACTGTGTGGTAGAATGCCAGAAACATTTCTCACAGCTAATTATCATCAGAGGAATCACTGCCTTCCTGAGTCTGAAGAACGCCTTTGTCTGTCAGCAAAACTTCAATTCCTGGTCCCATTTAAAAAGCACACAAAAGGAGTTTACACTCAGCTCCTTATGAGACACCCCTACACACACACACACACACACACACACACACACACCACAATTTATGAAAATAATATTGTCCAAAAGAGCCAAGTTTTGAATTTAGAGAGTGGGTATCATCACATGCGCCAAAGCTCTCCTTCCCCTGTGTATAAACGGCTCTAGAGAGATGTGAGAAACTGCTGAGTCCATAAATAACAGTGGTCGTGGCACCCCGGCAGGGGCAGAGTGTGGGAAATAAATAGTTCAGAGTTGGGGTAAATCCTCTGTCTGGCCGTGGAGATCCCAGGTTGGCGTGAGGCTGTGAGCATGTGCAGATCTCTTTTCCGGATCGCTTCCAGAGCCGGAAGTGCTTGGCGGAGCGTTTCTTGTCTCTCCCCAAAGCTGACAGGAAGGCCTTCAGTTCCCCCAGCCTGAGCTCAGCCATCCTGCAAGACACACCGGAACCTGTTGCACAGGTGGGTCTCATTTAATAAAAGCAGAGTGTTCCCAGAAAGCTGTTTTCCAGAGGAATGTCAGGGAAGGCCTCAAATGACTAGTGCCTCCTAGTTTCCATATCTAGGGGGCCGGGAGGGGGGGACGACTAAAAGATCATAGAACCAGCCAGGTCTGACCTGCACCTGTAGTCCCCGCCCCTTAAGAACCAGAGCCCAGGAGTTGGAGGCTAGCCTCATGCAACCTAGTGTGTCCGTACCACAAAAATAACTTTAAAAACGGAAACAAGAATAAAAAGTACAGGTATCAGAGAGATGGGTCAATGTTTCAAAGTCCTTGCTGTGGAATCGTGAGAAGCCGAGCTTGGATTTTAGCACCCCTGAAACAAGCCGGATGTCCTGGGCACCCCTGTAACTGCAGCACTGAGACAGTGGTGGGAAGAGACAGCAGGCATGGACTGCTGGAGCTAACTAGCTTCCTCCAGCCTAGCACAGGAGAACATGACCTCCAGATTCAGAGATAGACCCCTGAAGAAAAAAAAAATTTAAAAAGAGGGAGAGAGAGAGGAGGCCATCCAACACCTGTTTCTGACCTCAGTGCATGCGCCCGGGCACATGGGCACAGGGGCACATATTCCTACACATATCCGTGAGCATACTCAGATATGTACAAACAAGTAAATCATTAAAAAAAAAAAACCCCAGACCGTCCACTCAGCACATGAAAGTCTTACTCTCATAGAGTTCATTTACAATAAAAGTGGTATTCCCATAGGGTACTGCACAAAACATTAGTCCCTCCTTCAAAATGCTCCCCGTTCAAATGTTTCCATCTCAGAAATCCATGCTATAACATATAAGGGCACTGAGAAAATTCAGATACATACATATGCATACAGTGTGAATTCGATCTCCCAATGATTGCTTTACTCTAGAGGTTAGGAGTAGTTGATGTCCTCAAATCTACTTTCCTAATACACCATGGACTGCTGACTATTAAATTATCTCCATCTTGAATCGATTTATAATTTCAGCATATTCTAACATTCCATATGCACGCCAGTTTACTTCAGGTGACCTGAATGTGTGACTCTTGGGTGAAAGAGGCCCGCTTTATGGAACCTCTGAGCCTTCACATCTTGGATTCCCACCCCTCTTTTTTCTGCAATACTATTCCGCGTGTCTCTGTTTTAGCACAGGCGAGAATCTAATTCTCTATTTACAAGTCTTCCCTGAGTTGGAGCCCTGACTCTGTCTTGGGAAATGAAGCTATAACCTGCAGTACACTGGTATTTGAATATATGCAACAGTTACAGGTCCCTGATGTATCATTTCACTACAGACACGACCTCTTTACATTGCAGAATTCTATTTTAGTTTTCTGTGCGGTGAAACAGATCCAAGGGATAAATCATCATTCCAGGCTCATACGACCAGGCAGTAGCTCTAAAAGGGATACCACTTGATTTCCAATCATAGTGCTTTTGAAGCCCTGAGGCTATTTTCCAGAGCCACAGTGCCCGTATCAGCACCCTCAGCCCCCTCCTTTCTGATACTACTTATGGTTTCGAGGCACTGACCTCACCCTCCGGTTTGGCTTCATCTCGCCCTTCGTCCTGGTCGGGTTCGAATGCAGTGCCTCGGTCTACAACCTCCACACCAGCCTGTACCGTGGGCTTCTCGTTTTCCCACTTGGCAAAACCTTTGTCCTTGGCTGCTTTGTCATGGAACTTGGATTTCATTTTGGGGAATGTATGGGACCCCGAGTCTCCCCAGCCAGCCTCTGACCACACAGGTTCCGTCTGGGTAGCCTGACTAGTGGTGGCTCGCTGCAGCCTCACGGAGATTTTACGAGAAGAGCCTGTAACCAGTGTGATGGCTCTGCTGTCCAGGTCCCGGTGGCCAGGAGTGACCCCAGGAAACTCGAACACCTCATCCTGCACTAGAAGGGAGAGGAGAGTCGTGATTATTTGACGTCAGTCTGCTCAGTAGCAAACCATCACTGTTAGTACAGATGCCAGAAATCTGATATGCAAGGTCCCAGAGGAACTGACTAGGGCTAGAATTCAACGAGCAGCAGCAGGTGAGCATGTGAGTGAGCTCACCAACAAAGCAAAAAGAGTTAAGGGTTTAGCATCTAAGGAAGCAAGTATCCTTGCTGTTTATGACTCAGATCCTAAGGAGATGCAGAACACAGATGAAGGACAGGTGTGGAGAGACTGTGACAGTGAAGAACACAGAGAGCATTACCTGGGGGCAAAGCTGGGCTTCCAGGCAGTGACCCAGGATTGCTGCCCAAGGAGGGTGCCCGGGCAAGTCTCCTGCAGGCCAGAACCAGGAGGTCTTTGCACTGCTTGTGACAGTTGGCTCCACAGTCTGAAAAGACCCCAAGGGTGCCACAGGTGAGTGTGACGCTTGTGTGCCTGACCCAGCTTCTAGGGTGGCAAAGGAGCTGCTAGCCCTCCCCTCCCCCCATCGGAATTTCAGGGATGACTCTTGAGAAGTTCAGGGGCCTTCTTCCAGCTCACATTAACTCTTTAGCTTCCTTTGTCCCAAGGGACCTAAGTTCTCCACGAGGCCAAGGGCGTCTATGGTTTGATCAGTCAGATCTGTTTCCTACCCCAAATGTCCAAATTACCTTTGCATTTGTAGCCTTGTTTGATGATGCCCCAGAGCTGAAACAGAAGACAAAGGAACGTCAGAGCATGGGAAGAGAAGCCTAGAAAGAAAACAAAGCCTCAGAGAAGGAAGTCCTGGGAAGTTCAGTGCCTGGCAGCTCACAAACAGGATGTCGCTGCTCTGGACACCCTTCCTGCCGGAGAGGAGCCTTCTCCTAGCCCCCTCCAGCTGTGGTGAGAGCTTCCCTTGTCTTTCTCAGAGCCAAACGGTAGTTGGCATGGGAAATTAAAGTTAGTAAGCTGGTATGTTGTTTCGACTTTGTGTAGGAAAACTGACTGGTGGGTCTTGTCTTTCTTCTTAATGATCCTGGCTGCTTTTGGCGCCCTCTGCAGGAAAGGAAGCAGCCTCAGCGTGCACTTACTAATTCGGATTTTGCCGGGTAAAGAAGGGGCAAATGATCTAAGGCATCATGTCTGCCTCAGGGCTGTGGGAGATGTCAAAAAGGCTCCAACTCTGCCAACCAAGGACGTGGTGATTTCCATGAAGTTAGCTAGTCGGAAGTGATTGCTGAATCAAAGTTACGGGAGGGCTTCGTGAAGGACTTAGCTGCTGCACAGGACCCTAACACACCAGAATAAAAATCAGAATACAATCACGCACAATGCTGAAACTAAGCTTTTTAATCTGACCTTCCCAGGAACCAACAACCAAATTGGCCAGTTTCAGTTTCTTACCTACTGTTAGTTTTATGCGGCGGCACAATGTTATTCATTAAGCCGCGCTGTTTACCATGTGAGGAAAGCCAGGGGGTATGACAAAACCCACTATAAGAGTTTATTAGGAGAAGTAACAAGAATGTGCTTTAAGCCTATGGAAGGTTGTGCATGGAGAGAGAGAGGAAGAAGTGGGGGAGGAGTCTGTGACCCACTTTTAATGGACACTGTGTCCTCCCCCTCCCCCCCCTCCCCCCCCCCCCCCCCCCCCCCCCCCCCGCACATGCACATAAGGCTCACATAGCTACACCACCCATGCACATAGATTGCTTGATCATGCTGTGTGCAAATTACGTGATCCCCCAGCACACGGATTACATAGGACATAAGGCCCCTTGCTTGGCTACTGAACAGCACATGTGCAGTCATGTAGCAACACCTACACCTTAATTCTTAAACAGGAAGGTGAAGGAAACACATGCTATCAATTCTTTTTCTTTTTTGTTTAGACAGGCTCTCACTATGTGGCCCAGGCTGGTCTTGAACTCCCAATCCCCCTGCCTCAGCCTCACAAGCATTAAGATTACAAGCATGCGCCTTCAAGCCTTTCCTGCCCCTGCCTCCACCTTCCATGCAGAGGGAGGGACCAATCTGCTATGGCTTAGGCTTCTCTGTCTATAAAATCAGCTTCTGCCGCTGAACTCATTGGAAAACTCACTCTGTTTTGTGGAATGACGTGGTGGTGCCTGGTTTTAGTACCTAAAATAGCTTTGCCTAGGATCTTTAACTGGAACTGTAATTTTGGCCTTTGACATGACAAATGCCTCGGGTTCAACGAGGGGTGTTTTTGCAAGCTGCTCTGGGCAGAGTCTTGGTTGTGGTGTCACATCCTGGCAGAAATGAAGATAGTCTAAAGAGACTCATATTCCCCCCCCCTTTTCCCCTCAAGCTATTGAATGAAGCAATGGTCCCCAAGGAACTGGAGCTTCCAGCAATCTCATGCCCGGAGAAGGAAAAGGTTGAAGTCCCGGGCCAGCAAGAGGAGGGGCTTGTCTCCCTCTAAGAGCCTTCCCACAATTCTCTGACAGCTTCTCAGAAGAGACCGGAGCCAAGACAATGAAGGGTCAAAATTGGGCCAAGCCACACTGCAACAAGGACTGCTTGGTCATGTATAATTCTTGCTCTACTTATGCCTAAACTGGAAGTGTCGGCACTCAGCAGGGAAACATGATGATGGAGCCTTACTGTGCCTCTTCAATTGGTTCCTCTTCTCAATGGGACCCCATTGAATTGCCTGTTATTTGTCTAATTGGCATCTTGAGGTCAGGGGGCTAAGCCTAGCTCGGTGGGGCTCCTGGGCCCGAGGTTCTGGGGGCTTTGCCTTCCTCGTAGTCCTTAACATGGTGAGGAAGGTACCCTTGCCCTGTCCTTCCTCCTACCTTCTCATGCCATTTGTCCAGGGGCAGCAGGGACGCCAGCACATACAATACTAGGCTCAGCTGAAGCTGAGAAAACTCCCCAACTTGTTAATGGGTTGGGCTAGGTGCTTGTTGCTGGGTCGATGGCCTCCTGAGGCCAGTGAGAACACTGTTCACAATGCATCATGCCAAACAAGCCCCCTGAGTATGGTCATCTGGCCCTGATAGGAAAAGAAGTTGCCAGTGCAGAATGACATAAGGACGTGGGGGTAACTGCCTATTTCTCTCCTGCAGACAAGGAAATTCCAGCAGGGGACCCCAGAGATTCCTTTGATCCCTCACAGTCCCAAGGTCTTTCAGAACACATTAAGATGTAAATGCCTTCTGGCAGGACCACAGTTTGCCTCTGGATAGGAAAGACTTCTTTACCATTTCTTTACCACAGACTGGCAGGTCGGGCTCAGGGTAGAGTACCACAGAAGACCGGATAGGGCAGAAAAGGGAAGTGTTAGTCAGGTTAGTTACACCTTCTCAAGAGCCCGGGAAGCTTTAAAAATCATCTAGCTGGCTTCTGTCGTCGAGGAGGTGGTGAAGATAATGATCCGGGAAATAAATAACTTGCAAGTATTCTTTCCCCTGCTTCTGGGTCCTTTCTGTGTGAACAGAGCCACCAGGGTAGGACCAGAAGGAGATTTATGAAGGAGCAAATTTTTTTAAATGAAATTCACAAGTAAATGAGTAGAACTAGGAAAAAAAAAATAAAAAACATCCCGAGTGAGGTAACCCAGATCCAGGAAGACATGTATGTATTCTCTTATATGTGGATATGAGCTGTTAATTCAATGATAACTACGTTACAATCCATAGAACCACAGAGGTTAAGTACAAAGTAGGGGACGAGTGGGGACAGATAGACCTCCCTAATAGAATAGAATAAATAATTATGGACGGACTGGGGGTGGTGGGAGGAGAAAATCAAGTGGAGGAGAAAGTGGGGAGCAGGGAGAGAACTCACATAAAGAGAGTCAGGTAAAATTAAGGGCCATTTGAGGGGTAGAATGGAAGTCTCCTAAAGTACATACACATATGAAATTGGTCTAAATAAAATCTCCGAATAATGGGGGAGACACAGTCCCAACTGGACATCTCTTGTCACCAAAGGAAGCTCCCTGTACCAGGAATGGGTTACATCTAATTGAGTTACTGGCCAAAGGGGTCCCATGGGAACCCCCACACAACCCAGGCTGTTGCCGAGGCTAAAGGTTGCTCTTCACAAACTGATGGAAGGTCTTATTGCTGAAGACAACATCTCCTTAACTCATTGAACATAGAGAAGTCGAGCTGGTATCTACATAGAGCCTTCACCTCTATGTGCTAGTGTCTTTAGTACATGTCTCTGCATGCTACCAGAGGAGAAATGTAAATACTAACCCACCTACAAACCCTTAGATCTTCAATGGGGTCCTGCCTGCAAGACAGGCTAGTGCAATGGCAGCACACAGCTCGTGGGAGTCACCAACCAACATCTGATTTGACTTAAGGCCCGCTCCACGACATGGAACCCATACCCAACACTTGGGTGATCAAGGACCTGAGACTAGGTAGTCCAGAGACCTGGGGGAAAACCAAATACTACCGTGCTGCTAAAGGATCATAACAATAAAATGACTCCCAAGGGCATTGTGCTATACTCATATAGACCAGTGCCTTGCTCAGCCATCATCAGAGACTCTTCCTCCTGCAGCAAATGGGAACAAATACAGAGACCCACAGCCAGTCATGATGCCCGAGGCCTTGGAACACTCAGCCCTAAACAGGCTGTCTCCATTAAATCTCTCCCCTCCAGGCTCAGGGAATCCTGCATAAGAGGAGGCAGAAAAAGTGTAAGAGCCCGAGGGGATGGAGGACACCAAGAAAACAAGGCCCTCTAAATCAGCAGGATCAGCACACGGAGGAACTCACAGAGACTGAGGCGGCATGCACAGGCCCTGCACAGGTGCTTTGAATCTAGGTGCCGGCTTCCAGTTTAGTGTTTCTATGGGCTTCCTGAGAGTTCGAACAGGTGGGTCTCTGCATCCGTATCTGTTTCTTGTGTCTTTGCATGGGCCTTTTCCCTTCTGTTTGCTTGTTCTGTCCTATTCCAACGTGTTAGTTTTTGTTTGTTTTATTGTTGTCTCTTAGAAGTCTGGTTTTTTTTCTTAGTGAGAGACATAAAAAAGGTGCATGTGGATGGGAGGTTACATGGGAAGGAAATGGGAGGAGCAGAGGGAGGACATTGTGGGAGAAAAATATCTATTTTCAATAAAAAGGGGAAAGAAGAAGGAGAAGAGGAGGAGGAGGAGGAGGAGGAGGAGGAGGAGGAGGAGGAGGAGGAGGAGGAGAAGGAGAAGGCATCTTTCCTGGTGTGGTGGTGCTTGAATCTAATCCCAGAATTCAGAAGACTAAGAAAGAAAGGTCTTGAGTTCAAGGCTATCCTGAACTATTGAATAAGACCCACCCCACTCCTAAAAACAGGGCACCCTAATATGGAAATGCAGTAGATTATTAGCACCAATGCAGAGCTGCTGAAAAGAGATATAAGCAAGCAAGAGTCCTTTCAGGACATGGTCTACTGAGCTCACTTAGAAGCCAGGGGGGAAAACTGCCAGGAAAAGGCACTGGGTCAGTGTGCCAGCCATCGACAGCTGGAGGCAACCCCACTTAGGTGAGTCTCAGGAGCGTTTCCCAGGCTCCTCTGACCCAAGAACACAGGCTGCTACCATACTTGACATTCTTTATCATATAAAGAACACTGGACTGTTAGGAGAGCTGCCTGGGGTTCGTGCCTCAGCTGCCAGTGACTTGTGTGACCTTGGGGAACTAAGTCTCTTCGCTTCTCCAGCCTTCAGTTTCTTCTTCTGTAAAATACGGGGATTACCAACACGCTTTCAGTTCTGGCACTCTGATTCTGAAATGCATGCCCTGCCTTCCTTACCCTTAAAATAGAATCTATTTCAAAAGCAGATGGCCCAGGCACTGGAAAAACGGTTCCTGGCAGTCTCACAATCCCTTTCAAGGATATATCTTCAGAGTTGTATTTATAAATCCCATGAAGATCAATGGACCCTTGGGTATTATGTCAGCAAAGATCAAGTCAAGCTGTACTAATGAAATTATATATATATTGGTTTTTTATCATATATATCGGTTTTTCGAGACAGGGTTTCTCTATGTAGCTTTGCGCCTTTCCTGGATCTCGCTCTGTAGACCAGGCTGGCCTTGAACTCACAAAGATCCACCTGCCTCGAAATAAAATATATTTTGAAAAATAAAAAGGACCATAAAAATTAAAAGAGCTAATTTCAGGCAACCTCTAAATGTACCATGAGAACACTTTCAAAAATTTTTATGTTGTTTTTTGTTTTTTTTTCTCCCATCCCCTTGGTGCTTTCAGACTCATAACATGCCTGGTATTATTCATCTCCCCAACAACTTGACAGGTGAGTAGTATATTGACTGTCTTTTACAAAAAGAAAAGCGGACGTATTGATAGTCAAGAACTTGGGTCCACGACATGGAGTTAGAGGGGGCAAAACTTAAGAGGTTTTGTTAGAGGTTCAAAGCCAAGGTTCCAGACTCCGGGTCCAGAGTTTCGTACTTCATACTGGGTGCAGCAGCACCTGTACTCAGATGAATCGGCAGAAGATGTGGAATCCCAAGAATGACCATCATCCTTCTAGGAAACAGGAATCCAAACATAAGGAGGAGGCAGCAACAGCTCACACTCTGAGACTGAATAAGTACCTCAAATCCCTCATACACCACCAGAGACCAAATAATCATCCTGATTTTCAGTTGTGCCTTGGGGAGTCCACTCAGTCTGACCTTTGCATTCAAAGGCTCACATTTTGCAGGGCAGCAGCCCCTGTGGTCTCGCCTCACTTGCATTTTCAGGTTTATCGACTTCCCCAAATCCCCCATGAGAATAGAGAAACAAGAGACACACGAAAAAGGAAACGCATTTGTTGTCCAATAGGGGGGTCTGGTGAAGCACCCAGTGGAGATGCCAACAACAAAAAAAAGGAACTTCTCTGTCCCTGGGGTTGGTGAGACAAGCTGGCTAGGGTGGTCTGGGGGCTGCTGTCAGCACCTGGAACCATCTAGACAGTAGAGGCTGAAACAGCCGGGCGGTGGTGGCGCACACCTTTAATCCCAGCACTCGGGAGGCAGAGGCAGGTGGATCTCTGTGAGTTCGAGGCCAGCTTGGGCTACAGAGCGAGTTCCAGGACAGGCTCCAAAGCTATACAGAGAAACCCTGTCTCAAAAAACAAAACAGAAAGAAAGAAAGAAAGAAAGAAAGAAAGAAAGAAAGGAAGGAAGGAAGGAAGGAAGGAAGGAAGGAAGGAAGGAAAGAAAGAAAGAAAGAAAGAAAGAAAGAAAGAAAGAAAGAAAGAAAGAAAGAAAGAAAGAAAGGAGGTAGAAGTTGCCTCTTCCGTACCCATTCTCAGAGACAGGTGTACCCTTGTGACTGCTGAATAAAAGCAAGTTAAGCTCTGGCAGTTATCATAGCTAGGTGCTGGGCCACCTTCACCTCAAATTTCTCATTTTCTTTTACTTGAGTATCAACTGGAAGATAATCAGAGCCCAAGAATCTAGTAAGGAAAGGACCAAAAACTGGCCCCACTACCCAGAGTGGGTGTATGGCAATGGTTCTCACCCTTCCTAATGCTGTGACCTTTAATACTGCTCCTTAAGTTGTGGTGACACCCCCCCCAAGAAAAAATGATTTCCGTTGCTACTTCATAACTGTAATGTTGCAGCTGTTGTGAACCGTAATGTAAATATCTGATGTGCAGGATAGCTGATATTCAATCCCTGTGAAAAGGTCATTCACGCCCTTGCCCCCGCCCAAATGGGTCACGACCCACAGGTTGAGAACTACTGGCATAGAGTCTTCATGGGCTGCAGTGGTAAAGGCTGAGCATAGGGCTCACACTCAGAGCACCCATGTTTGAGGCCATGCTCTTTTGATTAGGACTTGGAAATCCTGGAGGACTTGGGTTAGCCATTGTGCACCTCTCCATCTTCATCGGCTGAATGCAGAGAAAATGCCTACCTCAAAGGCATGCTGTGGGGATGCCTTACGTCACTCTGCAGGGACTTTGTTACTGTCAGGCATTAAGTAAATGTTATTTATTATCATGACTTCCTTATCCCCAAAGGGTTTTTTTTTCCCCCTCTTTGAGTTGGAAAGTATTGAGCCATGCCATGATGGATGTAGTGACTAATACCATGTTAAATGAGTGCTATATGGAACTGGCTAAGATAAATGCTCCTCTTTATAGCAACCATCACCAAGGGTGGTGATGAATGCCAGAGTTCTCTACGCTGATACTTCCCTTGGCAGGCGTTAGGAGTACAAGCGCTCTCTCAACCTAACGGGGCTCAGCAACCCTCCCTGTCTTGGTTTGGGGTGCTCCCAGAGCATAGCTAAACTCAATAGATCAAAGTTTGGCTTTAATTTCAGGGAATCGCCACACATTTTACTTCTGAGGCAAAGAAGAAAAATGGATCCTATTCCCCACCTTTCCAAGGCGCTGAAAAAACAAAAACGAGAAATGAAAAACTGACTTACAAATCCCGCACAGTGTTCACAGAAGGTCGGCTTGAGATAGTTCATCTCCTGAAAATTATGGATAAATCCTGGTCCCATTTTGCAGTGTAGCTGGGATTTAGCTCTCAGGAAATAAGCCATCATTTCGTCTTTGCTAATTAGGCCATCCCTGGTAGAGAGAGTCACAGAAGGGAAGAATCTTTGAATACTGTATCAGTAAGTAGTCGCCACACTCTGGGACCCACCGCCTCCCAAACCTTTGTGACCAAAAGCGAATGAGAAATGTTCACTTTTCTTCAACATCCAAAAGGAGGGTGAATCTCACAAGACACATCAAGTAGTCAAAGGCTTCTCCAATAAGTGGATGCTGTGTGTGTGTGTGTGTGTGTGTGTGTGTGTGTGTGAATGTGCGTGAGTGTGCATATGTGCATGTGTATGCATGTGTATGCATGTGCGTGTGGGGGGGGAGCGTGTGCATGCATGCACGCGTGCATACACATGGCTCAGAGAGTTATCTTTATTATTGATTACAAGCTTCCAGAAGGACAGCTTTCTAGTCCATGACTAGCAGCAAGGCTGAAATCGCTGCTGTCATTCCCAACTTTATTCAGCTTAACTCATTGCAGGCTGCACCCCCCACCACCCACAGTGGCCTTTGCATCTGTGTCCTCCAGACCCACTGCTTATCTAAGCAAACCCCTCCAGATCTCCTCTACACAGAATGACTCTCCTCTTCCACCTATGTGTTCTCCGCTCACCACACACCCTGCTTGTCACTTGTCTATCAGTAAAGACCAAACCCATGTGACACAGGGAAGGGCTGGGGTACAGAGATCCCATCTTTCCTGCCCTGCTCAGGATTCCTTTATTCTTCCCTATGGTGTCAGAAGGAGGGCTGCTCCCATCCAGGCTCCCACCCCCCCACCCCCCACCCCCCCCACCCCCACCCCCCGCCATCCCCGCTCTCCAGCCTCCACAGACCTCTGCGCTCTCCCAGGCTCTGCTCACTTTTCTCACCTCCTTCTTCTGTTTACGGAGATGCCCAATACTTCCCTCCTCTGATCTCTTTCCCTGCTCCGGCTGTCTTCCCCAGCACTGGTCTTTCTCTCTTACCAACCCCCAAAGTTGTCAAAGCGCCACTCCTCAGCATTTTCTGCCATCATTCCATACTACCCAGTCAAGTTCTTCCCACGGCTATACCCTACCAAAAATGTCGCTAAGGGCGATGCTCGGTGGCCTCCTCTCATTCTTCGACACCGCCAGCCTCATGGCGGTGTGTGACACGGGGGACAGATTTATTTGTCGACACCCTCTTCTCTGTAGAGCCGGGGGCAGGTTTGTTTGTCGACACCCTCTTCTCTGTAGAGCCGGGGGCAGATTTATTTGTCGACACCCTCTTCTCTGTAGAGCCGGCAGTTCGGTGCCGCTCTGCTTCACTCTCTCCTCTCCTGCTCCCCCTTCTCTGTCTCTTCTGCAGAATTCCACTTGTTACCTTCATCATCCACGAGTGGGAAGGGGTAGTCTTGCAGGCTGGTTTCCCATGCCCTGAGCTCGTCTCCCCTACATTTCCCACCAGAAAGGACTATTGCTCCGAGCTCCAGCAGCCAGCTAATGTGGCGGGGCTGAAAAGCTGATGTGCGCCTCCAACCCCAACTGTTCTCACAGTTTTTTTGTTTTTGTTTTTGTTTTTGTTTTGTTTTTTTGTTTTTTAATTTTCGAGACAGGGTTTTTCTGTGTAGCTTTGGTGCCTGTCCTGGAACTCACTCTGTAGACCAGGCTGGCCTCGAACTCACAGAGATCCGCCTGCCTCTACCTCCTGAGTCCTGGGATTAAAGGCGTGCACCACCACCGCCCGGGCTGTTCTCACACATTTTGTACTACGTCTTCAATAACTTACTAGGCATCTCTTCCTGTACACCCCTCTCAAAATCAACACAACCACGGCAAAGTCCCTATCTTCCTTTCCAACTCGTATTACCACAGGTCTCCCTGTTGCTATGAACGATGCCATAGTTGTACCCCAAACTGAAGATCCTTGTTTTCATCTCATATGCAAGACAACTTGAATCATACTTAGAATTTATAAAATTAAGTCATCTCGTATCTTTCCCATCCTTAAAAAAATTATCCTACAATTTCCGCAGACATATGCATCAATCACAAACAGACACAAAAGTCCAATTTGGACGACATTCATTGAGATACATACATATGTGTCAGCATATACATATATATATATATAAAGAAACGTGCACACACATATATGTGCAGATGTAGAATCAGTGAATCATACATGCCCCAGGGATCCATTTATTATACTATAAAGGGAATAGGGCAACTGGAGCTCAACCACTGGGCAGCTCAAGGCTCAAGAGACAGAGGAAGGAGAACTTGCTACCTAGCATATAGCCCATCTCACATCATACAGATCTCCTGGCACAGAAGCTTCCAGCTTCCAACAGCCATGGTATTAAGTCCTCAAAGAGCAAGGAGCTTAAGAAACTCCTGTGCCTGTCTACCGTGTGTCCTCTCACAGGCTAGGAATTCCAAGAACCAAGATGTACGCAGAACCACAAGACAGCGGGAGCTTACTCTGTGAGTTACTAGAAAGAAGAATGTTGGCCAGTCATTAGGAACACTGGACTTAAATTGTGGGTGTGGAGAGGGAGGGGTCCCCACAGCAGTTCTTTACCCTCCGCTTTATCCTCAGCCTTCTTTTAACATTTTTTTTTTTTATTTTGAGACATGGTCTCACTGATTAAGTCCTCCAGGCTGTTGTTGAATTCTTTCTCTGAAGGCCAAGCAGAGCCCAAACTTCTGATCTTCCCGCCTCAGCCTGCCAAGTAGCCTGGACCACAGGCATCTGCCATCACGTTTGTCACTTCTACTTGTCTTGATGGGGCTTTCAGGGCTGGTAGTGAAGTAGTGCAAGGATTGAAAGAAACTGAGAGCTGGCTCATTTGCAAATGGGCACTTACGTTTAACAGAGATGTGGTCTGCCCTGGGACAGCACCCACTGGTCATGTTTAGGGATACCAAGAAAAACAAGGAGTGAAAAGCCAGACTGCCCTATCAGAACAATAGGGTACGACTTGTCAGGATGCAGGATGCAGGTTTGCCTGGCCCCACCCCCTAGATCGTCTTCTGCTTCAAGCTAGATCCATTAAGTAAGACAAAGTGAGACTTACTGGTCTTTGTCTAGCACACAGAAGGAGTCTAGGAAGGGGAAATTGGCAGCAATACTCTCAAAATCCTCCTGGGAGATGTATCCATCATGGTCGTGATCATAGTTTCGAAACACGGACTGCAAAGGATAGATGAACGTTGACTGTGAGCGTGTATAAGTCAGGCATTAAACTTGAGAAAAACAGTAAGTGGATTATCCATTCAATCAAAGGGCCTTGAATCCGGTGGGGGATCTGTAAACTCAAGGCTTGTTGAACACTATAAAACGGTAAGTGGTTTGTGAAGGGCTTCGAGGTTGGAATTTAAATAAAGATTTCCTAGAGGAAGAAAAGTCTAAACTGAGACCTCAGGGTTGAGTAGGAGTTAGGTTGGTGAGTTTATTGATTATAATACCATGAAAATAGAAAATGAAACTTTAGAAATTTAAATTACCTCAAAACTGAAAATATGTGTTGAATGTTATCCCCATCAAAATCCTAGTAAGATTTTTTTTTAAAAATTCATTCTTGGAGGGAAGAAATGTTTACAAATGAACAAATCAATTCTATAATTCAAATAAAAGTCAATATACAGGCTAAAAATCATTTGGAATGGTAAGAGAGGCACACGAACTCTCCCCTTCAGAAATCAAGTATCCTAAGGGTATACTTGACAACAGATATTACAGCGTGTACAGAGAGTCCCCAAGCACATCATGCAATGTCAAAAAAGCATTTATCTGGACCCACCTCATCCTGCAGGCTGCCCCCTGCTCAGAAGAGACTCTCAATTTCCCCATCCCCTTCCCTTCTCTTCTCTCTCTCTGCTTCCCCAACCCTGTTACCGTAGTCCAAACCTAATTCCTTGCTGAAAGATTGGCCCAGTTTGGGTAATGCTTACCATTAGCTTAATCAAATAAAAGGCCATTTCATTTATGAACTTGTACTAAAGTTCCGTTTACAAAATTCTTGTACTCTATAAATTAAAGTATGGATATTCGGGGGCTGGAGAGATGGCTCAGAGGTTAAGAACACTGACTGCTCTTCCAGAGGTCCTGAGTTCAATCCCCAGCAACCACATGGTGGCTCGCAACCATCTGTAATAAGATCTGGTGCCCTCTTCTGGCCTGCAGTCATACATGCTGTATACATAATAAATAAATAAATCTTAAAGTATGGATATTCAATGACAAATATTAGGCACTTCAAAACACTTAACCTTCAAGTTGTTTGGCTAGTGGATAAGTATTGAGATGATGAAAATGTGGTACACACACACAATGGGAAATTTTTATTCAGCTGTTAAAAAAATTTGGAATTTTCAGAAAAAATGGATGGATCTGGAAAGTATTATATTAAATGAGGTGACCTAGATTCAAAAAGAAAAAAACAAACAAACAAACCACACATTCTCTCTCATACATGCAGATCTTAGCTTTGAATGTTTCTGTGTGTGTGTGTGTGTGTGTGTGTGTGTGTGTGTGTGTGTGTGTGTGTGTATAGGTCTATGTGGGTGTGGGTATAAGCTGGGAAAGCAAAAAGAAAAGCGTGAGGGGGAAATAGGAGCTGTTGGGAGAACAACAGGACAGGACGAATGAGACACAAAGGCAGAAAGGAGGTTACTGGGGTGGGAGGGTACAAATAGAGACAGAGCCTGGGGGAGAAGAGGAAGCCAGGAGAATAAGTAAACACAAAATGTGTTTGACAATGCCATAATGACATATAATAGGTTGTACACTAATTTTAAGAGATGCAAGAACATGGGAGGGAAAAGAACGTCAAAAAAGAAAGATCTCTACTTCTCAGTTTTCATTTTCTGTAATCAGAGCATCCTGATGTGAAATGTCCTCCTTGGGTCCTTTTGGCCCCCAAACTCTGTCCCTCTTTGCCCTGGACTATATGGTTTTCTTAGGCCCTTCCCTCAGCAAAAGTCCCTTCCACACCACCTTTGTGGTTGTCATTGGCCTGCTTGGGTCTTCTGTTTGTTTGCTTGCTTGCTTAAGATCCATTTTTGTTTTTGAATTGGACATGTGCCTGTATGTCTGTGTTCATGCACGTGCATTCAGGTGCCTACAAAAGCCACAGTGGTGTTGAATCCCCTAGCTGGAGTTAGAGTTGGTTGTTAGCCACCTGATGTGGGTGCTAGGAATCAAATCCATGCCGTGCAGAAGAGCAGAGAGTCCTTTTAACCACCGAGTAACCTTTCCAGCACTCAGCTTACTTGTTCTTGAGATTGGGTCCTGTTGTGTACCTCTGGTTGCCTTTAACTCTCCTGTCTCAGCCCCTCATGTGCACTAGCACACCTGGCCTTCCACACTATGCCTTTGAACTACTTCTTTCTGCCTCACACCCAACATAAAACTTTCCTCAGCAATTGCCAAAATCATTGGGTTTTCCAAGATGTTTGTATTCTTCTGAAACATCCCTTTCCAGCAAACAGCACTATCTTCCTTCTCACAGATACTCTGTCTCCTACATTCAACCTTAATGTAATAGACAATGTACCAGTCTGTGAAAGCAGGGCTTTAATTAGGCCTGGATCATAGTTTCCAATGACAGAGACATTTCCACTTCTTCCTCCACATTTGTGCTCCTACTCTTCTGTTCTCTCTCTCTCTCTCTCTCTCTCTCTCTCTCTCTCTCTCTCTCTCTCCCCTCTCTCTCTCTCTCTCTCTTTCTCTCTCATCCTTTGAGTCAGGGTCTCACTGTAGTCCAGGGTATCCTCAAACTCACCGATCCTCCTGCCTCAGCCTCCCAGGTGCTGGGATTACATGGGTGTACCACCACACCCAAATCTGTTTTGCTTTCCACAGGGAGAACCCTGAAAGAGCCTTGACTTGGATTGAGTGATTTTTCTGACCTCAGTGGTGTTGGGTGGCTGTGTCATAAAACCCTCATACTATACAGCAGGTGAAACAATCCAGTTTACAGGATATTTCCCTGCTCGGAAGTAACAAAATAATCTGGAGTGGGTTTTCCATGAGTAATTCTAATCTCTAACGTTCTTCAAGATGATGGCAGTGAGAGAGATGATAAATGCCCAAGAAGGGAGCTAGAGGGAGCTGAGGATATTTGGGTAAATAAGAAGGCATAGACAAGAGACGGAAAGGTTCTTTCTGATAAATCCCCCTCTTGGGGCCAATGCAGGAAGCATGGAGTGCCAGTTGACGAACTTGTTCCTCAATCAAGCTCAACTGTTCCTACTTGTCCAGGAGCCGTTTTCATGGTCATCTGATTTCTGGACAATCAGAGAACACTCAGGAAAGAGAAAGAGTCTTTCTAGAACTCTCTGCTTATTCTCCTTCAGTCACTTACCTCAACCAGCTTCCTTATGTGTTTGTTGATGATTGTGGGGTCTGGCTTTGGTATCACCCCTGAAGCCCACTCCAGGGGCACCACAGGCTTGTTGGGTGTTGTGGGGGAGGTAGGCTGCTAAAAGAACACACAGACACATTTTTCAACATTAACTGGGCCTTGATCTACCAAGAGAGACAATTTAATATATGAATAGCAGGAAAGACTTAAGTCTATATAGTGCTCAAGTGTTTATTTATTTGGAACAGTGTCTCACTATGGCACCCCAGCAGGACTGAGGCAACACAGACCAGGCTGGTCTCAAGTTTGTATAGATCCTCTTGCCTCTGCCTCCTTAGACCACCGTACGCAGCTTCACATGTCAATAAAGCAACATCTTTTGTTAATAGAGTTTAACCAGTAACTCAAAACATGCTTTGCCTTAGTTTGGGCTTTTTGAAACAAAGGCCCTTGCTACGTAGCTCTGGGACTTACCATTCCACTGCCTTAGCCTCTGAGTGAGTCTTCTAGGCGTGCACTAGCACATGGCTAAGGATATGTTTTGATGATGCCCTTTGTTTAATAGCAGCCTCCATTTTATTCTTTTAAGTAAGTATAAAAACTTACTTAAAATACCCCATCTGAGTTCTCTAACTATAGATTATCACCAGATCATTCCTAAAGGTTCACATGATAATGCACCATGGACTTTTACATATGTGTGTATGTATATATGAATGCATACACACACATGCATACAAATAGATTACAGTTATCAAGCCAACCACAGTGGCACATACCTGTAATTCCAGCACTTGGGAGACTCACCAGATCATTTCTAAAGGTTCACATGATAATGCACCATGGACTTTTACATATGTGTGTATGTATATATGAATGCATACACACACATGCATACAAATAGATTACAGTTATCAAGCCAACCACAGTGGCACATACCTGTAATTCCAGCACTTGGGAGACTGAGGCAGAGGATCAAGAGTTTGAGACCAGCACAGGTTTTATAGCAAGAGCCTATCTCAAACAAAAGTTATCTAATTTTATCAGTTTTTTAAATAGTTTATATTAGTGATAAATTTGCATTGAATGCATATAATAACTAGTAACCAACACGAGGCCAAGTTCCTGTCCTTTGCACCCACACTTCGTTTAAGATGATAATTACTTCTGTCTCTCTATCCTCTCTCCTGCCACTGACTTCTCCACAGGCTTTTCCAGTAGGTTTTGTCTGTCTTTCAAGACATTTTTTCTTAGTCACCTGGGGAATGTGGTAACCATAATTCATAATGCAAGCAGGACACACAATCCAACCGGAAGCCGAGCTGAGGCTGCTGTGCGGTTTATTTACTGTTCTCTGTGGGACCTTTATACAGTGGAGGTGTTTTTACTGGTATACACAGGCAAACCCCTTCTAGGAGACTCTTTATTTTTTATATGAACTGGGGCTAAATTTTTTCAAGGGAATATGAGAAGGAACCATAATTCATTTAAACCCCAAACTATGTTGAGGTAGGTACTACTGATTGGGGCAACTAGCAAGACCAACAACTTCATACAATTTGGACAGATTCATGCACACACTCACACTTTGGCATCCCTTTCTTCATACACCATAGCTCTGTGTGTAGGAATGTGTGTGCGCACATGTGTGCAAGCATGTATTTCATGGGTATGTGGATGCTGGAGGTCAACCTTAGGTGTCTTCTTTAATCATTCTTAGTCACAAAATTTTTGAGACAGATAAAAAATTTCTTAAACTACTTCAATGGGGCGTGAGGGTGTTTTTGTGCTGTTCCTGTTGGTATTTTTGCTCGTTTCTGTCTATTTTATTTTATTTTCATTTCTGTGTATGAGTGTTTGCACCTGCATGTGTGAATGCACCTCATGTGTGGAGACCACAAGAGGGCATTAAAACCTCTAGAACCAGAGTTACAGGTGGTTGTGAGCCATTGTGTGGGTGCTGGGAACTGAACCTGGTCCTCAGCAATAGCAGTAAGTGTTCTTAATCGCTAAGCCTTCTTTCCAACTCCTTTATTTATTTATTTATTTATTTATTTATTTATTTATTTATTTATTTATTTATTTAACAAAGCCTGGAAAGATATAAGGGATATGGACAGAAACCCTACCTAACACAGGATCTTAAATACTAGGATGACTTTTTTTTTTTTTTTTTTTTTTTTTTGGTCTCTTGTGTAGGTGAGTTCTTAGAGGGGGATACAAAAGATAAAAGGTCAATAATAAAACAGCATACGGATGATAGTCTTCCTCTCCTTCAGCGTTTGATGAGAAGAAATAATTCTGAACCCTTTGGGAATAAGCTGGCCCATTGGTCAAATGAGACTTATACAGATCTTCAAAGTTCTTCCATCTTAAGAACACAAAACACCATCGAAATGGCCAATGACAATAAATGACAAACAGTGTTTGGAGTCCTGAGAGAAAAGCAATACCTACCGATTTAGAGTTTCTAGGCTCCAGCACCAGTGACAGTTTGTAAATATCATCTTCAGTGTGATAGAGGTCCAGAGAGAGCTATGGCAAAATCGAACGACACTAGTGATTACGTTGGACCGCATTTCTTTATGCACATTACTGAAATCTTTTCAAATGGAAGGCTGTACATCTCGTGCCCAGTAATCTGGATGGATGCAAAAGAGTTCAAAGATACAGAGGCATGCAGAGGGTAAGAAATAAAAATTTAAAAAGGAAAAGTTAATCCTGGCCTGGTCATCAGCATCAAGAAAAACACAATGGACTCCGTTTCCTTGTGGTGTTGGCTGGACAGCTCTTACACGTTCAGTCCTGAACATATTCAGTATTACACACAAGGACCCTAGAGACTGAAGTGGTCAGGAAAGATTCAGGAGGTAGCTGTCAACTGGAAAGAATTAAGAGGAAGAGAAGGCCAGCATAGGCAAGGGCAACAGCTTACACCAACGTTGGAGAGTGTATACAACTACCGTGCATGCTCCCGCTCACCTAAAGCAAGTCATGAGGTTCACAGTGAGCCAGACAGTCCCCACCCACGCCCTTCAGTGCCAGGAGACTTGAGGAATCACGCCGCTTCACCAACGATGGTGAGAGTCAGTGCTACCAGCCTTGAGGCATGACAAATGTCCTCTAAGGTTTTTTGTTTTGTTGAAGAAAGAATAAATCATCACTTGGAGCAAAGAAGAACAGAAAGAAAGGGGTGAAAAGAGAGCTAGAGACAGACTATGTCTTCTAGGGTTTTTTTGTTCGAACTTAAAAAAACAAAGTTGACACCATAGCCATCCCAGAGCAGTCATTCACTTGGAAAACGTTTTGTCAATCACATAACATGTGCCAGGGGTCAGTCACAGCACTGTCCTAGCAGCCACTCCATACATCATTCAAATCAAAGACTTCGTTACCTGAAGTTCCTTCCTAAGAAGAATAAAATTGACCTTGCTATAAAGAGGTCCCCCAAATCTTCCCAGGTCTTGGAAATCCTGCTTGCTAATAATGGACACTGTATTTACCTTTCTCTAAATAGCAGTCACACCTGTTCACCCGTGTCAGAGACAAATGCCTCTAGGAAGCAGCCAATCATTCAAAAGAACGAAACAGGGTGCACTAAAAGGATATTTGATGGACACATTGGTGCCTGTGGTGGTTAATATTATCTATTCTTCTGGATCTAGACTCACCAAAGACAGAAATATCTGGGCAAAGCTGTGGGGGATTATCTAAGTGAGCCTCATTGGGTGGAAAGACCTACCCTAAGTTTGGGTGGCACCATTCCCTAAGCTGGGTCCTAGACGGTATAAAGATGAGGGAGATCCAGCCATGTACCAGCCTGTCATTCTTTGCTCCTGACTGAAGACACGCTGGGACTAGCTGCTTCAAGCTTGTGTCACAGCGGCTTTCTTGATATAATAGACTGGATGCTTGAACTGTGCGACAAAATAACTTGGTTTTCTCTTTTAAGTTTTTAAGTTGCTTTTCTCTATTGTTTTTAAAGATGGAGGTCTCACTATGTAACCCCTGGCTGACCTGGAACTCGAGATGTAGAGCAGGTCGACCTCAAACTCAGAATTTGCCTGCCTGTCGTAGAACACTATTTTAAGGTGTGTTACATTTGTTTATGCTGTGGAACATTTGGTTAATGATGCAAAGATGTGTTGCCTTCTTTTATGTTGGATTTGTTTAACTCTGTGAAGCTGTGTGACTTTGCCTGTCTAAGACACCTGATGGTCTAGTAAAGAGCTGAACAGCGGCCAGTAGCGAGGCAGGAGAAAGGATAGGTGGGGCTGGCAGGCAGAGAGAATAAATAGAAGATGAACATTAGAAAGGAGAAGAAAGAGCAAGAGAACAAGGAGGGGAGGATGCTAGGGGCCAACCACCCAGCCACACAGCCAGCCACCGAGTAAGAGTGAAAGTAAGATATACAGAAGCAAGCAAATGGAAAAGCCCAGAGGCAAAAGGTAGATGAGATACTTTAAGAAGAGCTGGCAAGAAACAAGCCAAGCTAAGGCCGATCATTTATAATTAAGAATAAGTCTCCGTGTGTGATTTATTTGGGAGCTGGGTGGGTGGCAGCCCCCCACACACACACACAAAGAGCAAGAACAAAAGAGCAAAAACAACCAACAACATCGACTTCTTTCAGCTTCCTGAGTACTGGGATTAAAGGCATTGTCAGATATTGTCAGCAACTAGGTAATAGCTGATACAGTATCACAATGACTTATTTGGGGAGGGAAAAGGATCCTTGCAGATGCTACTAGGTTTTCAATCTTTCCTCCAGTTTGTTATGGTACATGGAATGGAACACCAGCTCTCTGCTAGGGAAGCAATAGGGGGCGATATGGTCTCTGAAAAGTTGGAAGCAGTCATTATTCGGACATAATAAATATATGTCTGCCTGACATTTGATGTCAAGTTGGCCAGCTCTAGTCTGTCAGAAGTCGGCAATCTGGAGTTTAATATGAATTAGGACAATATTTGAACACTGGTCATGGGCAACAAACAACTTTCACGTTACTATATAAATAAAACACAGCTGCCATGGGAAGTCATCTACCACTTGGTAAACCCCTAACCGAGGATTCTGCTGGGCGCCATGCCTCATGAAAGTGGGCAGTACGTCTGTCCTTTTTGCCTCCATTGCAGTTTGAGGCCTTGCAGGGAGGATCTTCCAAAGATGAAGAGAGAAAGCCAAGTGCAGTCTTCCTTCCAAATTCCTTGCTATCAGGAGTTAGCTCTGGCACTGAACGACAAGCATGTTTCCTCCCTCCTGACTTGCCTCCAAGTCCTGTGATGTCCAAATCCATAATGACTGGCACCAGCATCCTCCAATGAGGTAACAGCAGCTCCAAGACATTCAACCAGAAATGCCCACAAGACACCCCTAAATTCACATGTATGCTTGTTAGGTTTTTTTCCCATGGTGGATGGGCATATAATGGACATGATTTGGTCTTCTCCAAATGTCTTCTTTCTACTTATAAATGTTATGATCCTGAGCAAGCCATTAAGCTTCTTGATTTCTTCCTGATCAACACAGCTTCCAGTCAGGACCTTGATGAAGATTTAAATGAGCTAATGTGTATCTATTCCACTGGTTTTGCTTAGAAGGTCACAGATACGGGCTTGGCATCTAGGCAATGTAGCAGCCACATGTCATCTGTTTATCTGTGAACAGAAAACTGTCCCCAAGGCTACTGCTACAATTTCTGCCCTGCCAGTCACAACCCTATTTCCTCTCTAGATCTCCTTGGGGAACCTAAGGATTTTCCCTGTCTACTTCCCATTTTTAAATAATACGACCAGCTTTTGCCGAACATATTTTGTCCCTGGTGGTTTTAGACAATATTCTGACCCACTGTCAGTTACATTTACCACCAATCCTGTCAGCACAGGTGAATCTAGAGTTAGACTTCATGTTAAAATTGGCTTATTATAAAACAAAACACACTTGATCATCAAACTATTTATACTCATCAGTTTAGCAATCACCTTTTCCTTATTTTTCTTTCTCCTCCCTCTCTTTCTTCTTTGCTCTCTTTTTAATTTTCTTTCTTTTTAAAAACGAGACTATAAAAACATAGGGGCTTTCCAGCTATTTGCATGCGCTCAAAATGGTAAAGGTAACTGATGGGGCTAAAAATACCACGAAAAGAACTTGTCTGTTTCATAGGTCATGAAACAGAGGCAACAGCTGTGAGAACTCTTCATTATATGACTTGGGACCTCAAGGAGTAAAAAATGCCTTCTCCAGATCTACCCTGAAAGAGAGAACTATCTAAATCCCACCAGTCTAATGCCACGTCCTCCGCTCTTCACTTAACCCATGCTGTTCAAGGGACAAAGGACACAATGGCGAAAGTAACATGGTCTTTGCCTCGTAAATTTTATTCTCTAAATAAATAGTGAAAAAGGTTGGGGGAAAATATTGCTTAAATTTTTAGTGGTACAAAATAAACTATATGTTAGTAGTAAATACGCCCACAGTAGAGAGCAGACGTCCATCCAAGGTCAATCATCCACTATTAATTTACATCTTAAAAGCCCCCTCAAAGGCCCATACGTTAAAAAATTGTTCTGTGGCTCAGCACTATGGTGATGTAGTGGGACATTAAGAGGTGAAGCCCAGTGAGAGGTCTTCAAATCATGAGAGCATGCCTCCAAGGGAATTGTTGGAATTCCGCCATGTCCTCCTCTCTTTCCACTTTCCCGCCATGAGGTAAGTGATCGTGTTTTGCCGTGTGTTGCTCTGCGTGTGTGCAGCCTTGCCACAGAACCAAGGCAATGGCGCCAACTCTAACAGACTGAGGCAAAACAAGCCTTTCTTTTCATAAATTGATTTATACTGGGCATTTGTTATAGCGATGAAAAGCCGACTAATACATTATCCGTGGGAGAAAGTTCCCCAACCTTGTGTCCAGAAGTTAGTCACTTTTAGACGTCTTGGGTATTCATAAATCTCAGCTCCTTCATTTTTGAGAAAGGAAGGAACAGAGGTGGTGTGACATTTTTCTAAGTTTTCCCCAGGATTCATTATAGGGCCCTTGTGAGAATACACCCGGGACATACACAGGGAGTGTCATGTGAATCAGGGGTCATGGAAAGTTCCAGCACTGGTAGACAGCCTGATGCACAAAATAGGAGTTTAATAATTGCTCATTAACTTGAGTTCTCACTTTCTGTCTTTTGGTGTCTGAAGCTCATGTGGGTCACTGAAGAACACAGCCACTTTGGGCAAAAAACTTGACTTGGAGAAAACTGAATCACTTCTTAAAAGCTACGCTTATGGACTTGCTCTCATGCCTCAGACCGCTACAGTTGTGTGGTTCTAATCCAGACATGTATGTACTTCATAAAGTGGCCACTAGACTCGAGTGAACACAGAAGTTTCCCCCAGACTCATGTTGGGAATATTACCTTCTCAGAGGTCGGGAAAAAAAATGGATGTGACCTTGTGAGTAATGAACATTTTACTTGCTTGTGGGGAGGGAAGAAAGATATTAGATCTAAGTAGAAACTGGCTTAGGTGTGGTGACCCTTCTGAAGGCCTGTGCTGTCCCAGGGAGTCAGTGGGCCATGTGCCAACACCACAGAAACATTTCTTTATTTTCATGCTTTGCTGTTCTATATTTCTAGATCCATAGAAATTCATTCATAAATGAGCACAGAAACATTATGAAAAAGGCAAAGTCAGAACTGGTTAGCACAGGGGCAGGGCTAAGATCAAGACTTTTCTTTTTTTTTAATAATTTACTAATTTTTTATCTTATGTGCATTAGTGCAAGGGTGTCAGATACCCTGGAACTGGAGTTACAGACAGTGAACTGTCATGTGGGTGCTGGGAACTGAACCCAGGTCCTCTGGAAGAGCAGCCAGTGCTCTTAACCCCTAAGCCATCTCTCCAGCCCCAAGACTTTTCATATAGGATTTTTGCCATCACTCTGGGTTGTGCAGCACTGCCCTTAAATATGGTTCCAAGCCACTTCTGCATTTTTCCCTCAGTGTTCCTAAAAGAAAGAGTGGGCACCCTCTGGCATCATTTCTTTTCTTTTTTTTTTTTTCTACAAAAAGAATTATTTCTTAACTTTTTTTTCTTTTTAATTCAGGTTCCCCATTTGTACCATTGAACTTTCATTTAAAAGAAAATTCAGAATTTTCCTAAACACCTCTTTTGGATAATGTTTCTTGGTGCATTTAGGTTTTGTTTTGTTTTGTATATAGAACCGGGGCCTTGTGCATCCTAGGCAAGTACTCTACCACCAATAAACCTTTCCCTTGGTTGACGTACTTAAAACTCAAATTTAATGTCCCTACATTATTATTGTCTTTTAGGCATTTGAGACATTGTCCAAATGCAGGCACCTGCCTTGTGAAGTTATACTCAAGGTTAAGAATACAGTTTAGATGCAGACACTTGAAACTGAGGGCCCACAGTGGCACTTCTCTTCAGACATCACCTGTCTGTCCTGTGGTTTGTTGCCTGGTTGTGGCTACAACTCTGGGCACTGATTCATGGAAACATATTTACATGGCAAACGATTAATCAGTGCAGGTGCTTGAACTATTGTGAGGTAGTTCCCCGTTGGAGAAAGTCTTTTTGTTTATCATTTATCATACACCCAAGAGATCTGTGTGTTGACCACTTCACCTTCATATTGAGTACAGTCAATAATTATTAGAATGATAATAACTCAGGGATGTGTCCTTGGATAACAATTACTTGCTCTAGGAACAGTGGATATGAAGTCTGGGAGTCAGGCTCCTACTCCAATGCAGCCATTGTAGGGGATTTAGGCGATTGGAGCTTTCGAAGAGTTACTGCTTTGATTTTCCGTGGACATAAGAAGAAAACACCGATTCACTGTGGCAGTCAAGTTTCAGGTGCTACACTGTTGTGAAGCCAAATGGGGAAGTTGTGCCCTCCCTTGTTTAAGCAAGGGTAAGAGAATTTGTTGTTTGTGCTTCTTCCTCCTCGAAAAGAAGACCCGAGGGAAGATGTCTTCATCTGTATACATGCTGTGTCTAAAAAGCTCTAGATCTGAAGACCATCTAGACAGTCTGTCACACGTGCCAACATAAATAAATAATAATCGGAGCAGCTGACACTCATTACTCCTAAATACAGCATTTACTTTGTCTTCTGAGTTCTCAGCCAGGTACTGTGAAAAGTGCTGGGTATACAGTTAAAAAAAAAGCACATGAACAGGAAGAAACCTATGGAATGCAGAGCAATGCCTTTCTACAGTTAAGGGAAAATGTAAAGTACGAGGATGACACGCGACAGACTCATTACTGCTTTAGAAGAGAACAAAGAGTACTCTGGAAAGACCACGTCTTTAAAAGCAGCATATGCTGACCCTCGGCTCTCACCCTAGCACTTCGGAGACTGAGGCCACAGGGAGCACAAGTTCAAAACTAGCCCGAGCTAAATTGCAGGACCCAAGTCTAAAACAAGCAAACAAACAACAACAACAAATCCCTGGAAACTAAACCAAAACAAAAAAAGCACAAGAAGGGGCCAGCAAGATGACTCAGCTGGTAAAGGCACTCCTTGCACAAACCTGGGAAGAGAGAGCAAGCTGCATGACCGTTGTCCTCTGACCTCCACATGTGTGCTGTGGTATGCTCAAAGGTTCCTCTCTCTCTCTCTCTCTCTCTCTCTCTCTCTCTCTCTCTCTCTCCCTCCCTCCCTTCTCCCTCCCCCGCCACATACACCATGTATACACATATAATACAGAACAAGAACTTTCACATTAAGAATAAAGATGGAGTCTGAATTCTCAATGGAAAGAGAAGCCGAGGACTTGAGGGCACAAGGAAAGAACTGATCAGTTGGGCAGGGGTCCTGAGGGAGAGCAGAGAGCCAAGGTGTCTCTTAGGGAGCAAAGACTCACCGAAGAGGTTCATATAGGCAGAGACCAGGTCCCACCCCAAAGAAGAAAAACGGATTTGCGCCAACGCTATAGTCTCCAGTCACACTCCTTATGGGGGTAAGTTTCCGTTTTCCTCATTCTTTGAGACACCTTATCGTGTATTAACCCCTAAATTATTTTTCATCAAAAGCGAATGGTTGCAACCTGTCTTCCTAGGGCACTAGGAATTAAGGGCCCAAAGTGCTGTTTGTTCAGCACAGGTTTGGCCGCTGCGGACTCACAGTGAGCAGGTTGATCAGATCCATGTTAGGTTCCAAGTGATGAGAGGCGTTCTGCAGGGAGACCAGCTCGCTCAGGGTAACGGAGAGCTGGTGCATTTTCACAATGTTCACTTTTTTCTCCTCCATCCAGTCTGGGAAAATGACGTGGACCGCTATCAGGTCCTTCAAGTGCACGCCCAGGATGGGGATTTTGAAGCCGTCGCTGTCGGCGAAGGCCCTGCGGTAATTGCAGTAATTGCCGTTGGAGGAGACCAGCTCTGTCATTTCGTTCCAGTTCTGGGGAGAGACGGAAAAGACGACATTTCCAAACAACAGCTTTGTCTCCTGTCCACTCCCCGACCCTGGAGTACGCGGCTTTGGAATTCCTCAGCGGTGGGGAGGAGTATCGGCTACACCAATGTTGATGCGGGGAAACCGTCGACCGAGAGGAAGAAAACCAGAAAAGCGTACTAGGCCTGGCTTTCTCCCTTGAACAGCCTGCTCCATTTTCCAACACCACATCAATGGCTTCTACCTCCGCTTACCTAGGGGCTGCAAAATGGCATCGCAGCTGCTTAGGATTCGGAGAGTCAGGAGAAATTACAATTCACAAAGGCAAGCAGGCGGCATATTACAATGCCTTCAGGTTTCCAAGAACTGCATTACAAATGTCACTTGAAGGTTGGTCTGGGACAAGGAGGAGCAGGAAAAGCTCCCCTGAGCTGGAGGTTGAGGTTCCACACTAAACTAAAGGGGCGAATGTGAACATGGCTTCTCACTTGTTCAGGTTTCAATTTCTTTTCCTATAAGAAGAGTTTAAGGGTGTGTGTGCATGAGTGAGTGTGTGTTATTACTTTATGTATATGAGTGCTCTGTCCGCATGCATGTGTTTACAGCACATGTGTGCCTGGCCTGGTGCATGTAGAAATTAGAAGAGGGTGTTAGTCTCTGGGACAGACAGTTGTGAGCCATAATGTGGTTACTGGGACTCAAAGCCCCATTCTCTGGAAGATCCTTAAAGGCTGAGCCATCTCTCCATCCTTCTAATATATAATTTTTAAAGATATACTTAAACCTCAAGCCCCTTATTCTGTACAACTTAAATTTTCTTTTTGCCTTTTACTTGAAATTGAGTCCAATGCGTAAGAAAAAATAGAGCCCAGACTAAGTCCCCTTATACTTGGGATGAGGGCAGAGTTTGAGGCCAGATAGTGGTGCTTCTGTGGCATATTCATTCATGTCTATATAGATCATTTTTTGCTGGTTAGTGAACAACAACTAGACTTTCTAATAAATCCCCTCTTACTAGTCTTCCCCTTCCAAAAGCATCCCACAAGGCTCAGATGACCTGTTTCTATCGCGCTCCCCGCAGGGCATAGGAAGGGATCTGCTCCAATCATCTGCTCCAGCATGGGAATTCCACCCCTTTGTAGACAGTTTAGGAACAGAGGGTTAAGACACTAAGTACACTGTATTTCTTTGACAACTGTTACTGGTCCAGGATGGACTTGAGATGGCCAAACATGTCTAGAAAGCAGGTCTTTAACGAGAGTTCAAATGAGAAGTCTTTCATGAATAAAAGATCTTTCCTGTTGCTCCCCAAAGCCCAACCAGGAGGGAAGCCGGGCTAATAAAGCAAGCAAACAAACAAACAACAAAACAATAATGAACAAAAGCAGCCACAAATCCCTGATACTGGGAAGAAGGAGAAGCAACTGAGCCAGACTCTGATAAGGTCATGCCTGGAGGTCCCCCAGCCACTGGACTGCCAAGGTTGTCAGACAGTAGACGGCTTTATTATTTAGCCAATTTCGATTGTCTTCATCTTCATGTTCCTTAGGGTTAAAACAGAACACACCCTACTACTACTGCAGCCAAGTGTTAGCATAAGGAAAAATGTTCCTCTCTGCTCAGTAAGTAAAATGGTTATTGGATATGGTCTGCAAATAAATAGAGTAGAGAATATCAATTTGTGACTGGCTTTCAAAGGTACATGCTTTTGAGTCTGAATATTTCTTTCTTTCTTTCTTTCTTTTTCCTTCTTTCTTTCTTTCTTTTCTTTCTTTCTTTCTTTCTTTCTTTCTTTCTTTCTTTCTTTCTTTCTTTCTTTCTTTTTGGTTTCTTGAGACAGGGTTTCTCTGTGTAGTTTTGGTGCCTGTCCTGGAGCTCGCTCTGTAGACCAGGCTGGCCTCGAACTCACAGAGATCTGCCTGCCTCTGCCTCCTGAGTGCTGGGATTAAAGGCAGGCACCACCACCACCCCGTGAGTCTGAATATTTCTACATGAGACCTCTGGCTTCCCTTTTCTTTGCATCTCCCGTGTGCCACAGTGTGGTAACTAGAGTAGGCCTCAGAGAGCACGGGGTATTTATCTCACTCATCTGATGTCTTCCACATTCATCAGAGAGCTAATCACACAGCCAGCACCACATGAATATTTGGTGATGATATTTACAATAGATTCATCTTTGGTTAGGACATTTTTTTTCTTTGTCTATTTATTTATTTATTGGAGCAGAGGCGTGCATGACTCAGCCTACGCATGCAGATCAGAGGCCAACTCTTCGGAATAAGCTCTTTTCTTCCACCGTGTGGGTTCCAGGGATCAAACTCGGGTCACTTGGGGTGGTGACAAGCATCCTCACCTGCTGAGCCATCTCACCAACCTGGCCAGAACATTCTTATTGTAACACTTCCCATGAGCAGCAATCTGGTTTTCTGTCTCGAATCTGCTGATAGGCCTATTTCCTTTCTATTTATTTCCCTATGGGTAACTTTGTACCGGTTTAAGAGAAAAACATTGCTCTCCTATATAATACTTGTCAGGATCAGAGTACATTTCAGCAATCTATACTGCTTGCTCTGTATTCAGATCAAAATCCACCGTACCTTTGTAACTTCTGAAGAGAGGTGAGAATGGGTCTCTTTGAGTCGGGAAATGGAGCTATGACTAAGGCCGCCAACCACTGCCATCAAGGTGTTAAAATTTTTTAGTTGAAGGAGTTTCTACAATTAAAAAAAAATGTTAACAGCAGTACTTGGTAAGGATTTCTAAAAGTGACTCTGAATTTCCCAAATTATAGGTGAAGACAAGCACATGGTTGATAACAAGAATCTAGGGTGGGGGGGAAACATCAGTTTGAGAGGAGATGAAAATTGAATCCTCTTAGAAAGATATCATATTTCACAGCACACAATTAAATAGTTCTAAAGCACTGCCGTAAGGGCAGTCTTGTTGTGTGAGAGCAGTATGGTTTGTTCATTAGACATTTACAAGCAGTTTAACTGTCCAGCTCTTCTATTGTTAACCCCAAAGTTCTCGATGACTTTTCTCAATAAAATTAATGACTACACAGACTCCCCAAACCCACGTCTGAGTATGAGACAAACCTGTGCTACATTGATGAACTTTGTGATGACTTCTGCCCTTTGCTGAGGACTTGGTTTGCTGAGAACCATCAACTGGACCCACTTGGAGACTCCATTAAATAAAGCAATAGATCTCTCCAATGTTGGGTTATTCTCCAGGCAGCCATGGATGACGTAGCTCTGATAATCTGTGAACTGGTGAAAGGAAGAACCAGAGATTCTAAATTATAATGGAGCTTTCACAAAATCAGACATGAGACAGGTAAAGGGGGTGAGCTAGCCTTTCGTGACAACATGGTGATTTCTTCCATTTCCCATTTATAAAGAATTCCTTCAAGTTCCAGAGCTCTGTGCCTTTAATGGGCCATTTTGCTACATTTCAAAAATCACTTTCACAAACACACAAATCGCAGTGCTTTAGGAGGAAGATTCAAAGGTCTATTCTAGAGGATTCCAAACTTACCAAACACTCACATCCATCTAGGCCATTAGCCTGAGAATACCAAGGCAGATAAGATCTTTATCTTCCCCAGGAAAGAACTAAGGTTTTCCATTTTTAGTTCTGCCAGTGACGCCCAAGAATAAGCACGTTTAAGATACAATGGCACACACTAAAGAACAGGAAATGGATGGAGTATAATACTCTCAAATAAGAATAAGACTCTTGCATTTCAAGAGGACAAAGGAGATAGGAAAAAATAAAGTAAGAATGCCCTTTAGCAATCCAGACATTTTCAGCCTGTGAGGGCAGATGCCGCCACATAAGTTGAAGCCTTGTATCCTACACAAAGTTCAGGGAATTGCTTTCCTTGGCGTGTCTGAGAAGCATCATGAGGGTTCTCTACAAACAGGATTTGTTTGGTGAATGCATCAGTCTTTCAGAAATTTCTCCTTGTTGGACTAAGGATGCAGCTTCTAGAATGTACAAGGCCCTAGGTTTGATCCCTAGTACTATTGAAAGTTAAAAAAAAAATAAAGGAAGGAAGGAAGAATGAAAGAGAGAGAGAGAGACAGACAGAGAGAGAGAGGCAGAGAGAGAGAGAAAGAAAAAGAAAGAAAGAAAAAGAAAGAAATCCATGCCTCTAGTCAAAATCATCTTGTTTGCCAGCAATGATGTGATTTACTTCAGGCTCCTTGGAAGGGGAATGATTTCACCTGAGCTCATGAGGCACACTGAAGTCACGAGCTGACGGAGCTCTATAAAGAAGTGAGAAGGAACACAGAGGCATCTTGAAGGGTCTGCAGGTGAGAAAGGAAGGAGGATGGAAAGGGAGACGGTTGTAGGAAAGGACTGAGGGTCCGTCAAGATGTGTAGGAAGGAAAGTCTAATGCAGGACCTCTGCCTCTGAGAAAGGGGCCATCTAATGTTGAGAGCTCTTCAACGCTTCCAATTCTTAATTCTCAACCTGTTTCATAGTTAGGCATTTGTATAGACACCAAATTAAGTTAACTGCCCCCTCCCTCTGTGCTATAAATAAAAATTCCCAGCAAAACAGTTCACTTGGAAGAGGTCACTCAAACTAAATAAACCTTGAATGGTTAAATCTCTGCTGAATATTTAGAAAAATCATGCTTTAATTCTATGAAAGGAGACATTGAATATAGTGGCAGAAATATAGCTCCTGAGCCATAGACTAAAGACAGGATAATATTTATATTTGGTTAAAAGGGATTGTTCCTGTGAATTGAGGGCATGTTTCCAACGGAGCCCAGTGGCAGAGGCTGCCAACACTTGGGAGTATGAACACGCACTCTTGGGAAAGTTGGCACAGCACATGTTACCCTTGGAAGAATAACCATCAAGTTCTTACTGAGATCCTTCTAAAAGATTTATGCTCCAGAAAAGTGAGGTGCTCGGCCAACTCAATGGGCTCCAGATGGTCAAATAAGAGACAGGCCTTCCCCTTTTTTGATACTTTCTTCCTCTGCGTGACTCTCCTCATCCAGTCATAAGAAGGACTGTAAAAGAAGAGAGAGTCTGGTCAACGTGCCGAAAACGCATTTCACTCAGTGGAAGATATTAACCTACTACTGACTGTAACTCTTGGCCTACTGCCAGGAGCTTGTGTGAAATACATATCCTGCCCTCCATATTTGAAGAGAAAACCACCCACCCTTTGCCAACAGAACACAGACTTGGAGTTGTTTTTTTTTTTTTTTTCTAGGCAGGATAGGTTTGCTGTGATCCATCCTGAATCTCTTACTTGGTATTCCTTGTGACCAAGAAAGATTTGAACTCTAAAGAAGAGAGATCAGGGCTAGACCTACAAAGTCAGAAGTTTATTGGCATATAGAAGGTGATTCAAGGCACTTGGAAACAACCATGGTTGTGTATATCACACTTGAGCATCATATGGGTTATCTGAAAAACTCATTATGAAGAAAAAGGCCTAGATCTCACTTCCAAAGACTCCGATTTACTAGGAACGGGTCTGAAAGGCAGGCATTGTAAACAAGCCTGCCTGATGATTCCTGGGTCATTCATTATCAATTAGTCTTGAAGAAGCATTCCAGGCAAAGAGAATGCCTAAAATACAAAATATGTGCATTTGACATCCACCTGTAATCTTAGCACTCAGCAAGCCAAGATGGGAAAACCATCACAAGCTCAGGGACAGCCTAGGATTCCAGGCCAACTTGGGATAGAGTGTACACTTGTAATATGGACAACCATACCTATGTTCATGAAAAAGCTTTTCCTGGGCAGTTAGCTTGTCTGCATTAAATGAGTCTAATTAGTATTAGGTCGCTTATGAGATGACCAGTCAGAACACAACTGTGGTCAACATTGATGTAACGTCAGGGGAGCCTCTGAAGCGATGGGGTACAGAGCTTCTCAGGCTTGCATGAGAGTATGAATCACATGGGGATCTTATTAAGGTATAGATTCCAATTCAGCAGGCTTAGGCGAGACCCAAGACTGTTTTCTGATGGGCTCCTAGGAGAAACCAGTGTGGTGTGATCTAAGTAGCTGGGACATAGGAGATAACGGCTAAGTTCAGTTCGAGAACTAAGGACTCAGCATCCATTAGGTGCCAGATACGTTCCTGTGCTCCCTTGTGGACTTCTTAAACATAGGATAATCCCATAAAGGTACCATCCCATTTTACAATCAAACTGCAACTTGGAGAGATAGATATGTCTACTATAGGTGCGTTCATTATAGCCAGGCTGTCTCCAAAGGAGGAGCTTCCTTCTAGAACAGGGTCATCACTAGCCCTTCCCCAAAGCAATGGACCCATGAAGACCCAAAAGACTTGCGCCACTCTTACATGCTCGATATGTCCATGAGGTTGATGTGTTTTTCATATCCTAGTTGACCTGCTACTTCCCGGAACTCCTCAGTCATACGAATCAAACCAAGATCCAAATTAAACTCTGCAGGGAATTTCAGAATCCAGTACCTGAAAGGCATATAAAGGACTTTTGACAGCTGGAAGATTTCACTTGGACCTCTTTGGAGATTATTGTACCATGTTATAAGCTGAACTTAACATGGAATCCAGTACTGTAGTTCCAAGTTGTTAGCTCGTATCCCCAGCAATCCTACCACGTGTCTTTCTGTTCCTTCCATCAAGAACCAGAATCCAACAACCCTGAACTTCTTCCTGACTTACTACAGAACCCAGTGGAGGGGAGTGCCCCCTCCCCAGTTCATTGTAATGTATATGGTGAGGGAGTAGAAAATACTGAATCCACTGGATCTATGAGCTGGTTTTACTCTATAAGGCATTAGCTCCTACTTGATCTCTAGCTCATAAGGTAAATTCTACCCTACCCACCAGGAAGAGAGAGCTAATAATTACAAAGGCAGCAAGGTGAAGAATTGGCTGCTTAGAAAAAACAGAAATTGGCAACAATTTCAGAAGCTCTGAGAAACTAAATCTGCAAGTGTATTTACCTCATGAAATAGCAGACCTTCAGCCGGAACTCATCACAGCTGTCTCCACTGGCGTTCTGATACGTAGACTAGTTAAAGAAAATGTCATATCTTCCTTTCACACATGTCTAGCCGACACTGTTCCAGCAATTCACACAAATCCCAGGCAATTCGAGTTACAGGCTGAGTACCTCTAATCCAAAACCTTGAAATGCAAAATGCCCCAAAACTCTGAAGCTTTTGGAAAGCCAACAATACAAGGGGAAAAAATGTCACCCCTGAACTAATATGATGCTTTGGACAAATGAGAGTCTATTTAAAATAGTGTGTTTTTGGACTTGTGTGCCATCCTTATTGACATCTGATTATGTAAGTGTAGTAGATTTATATATATATATTTTCTGTCACAATATTCATGATCATATAGAGTACTACCAATTCTAGAAACAGCCTTCATCTAGCTTTCTACATGTGATTTCGGGCTTGAGTCTGAAGCAGGTAACTAGGAACTAAGTTTGTGTAGCCTGGATGTATTTAATAGATTGTGGTCCTTTAACCCCTCTGAGATCTGCTGCATATGACATTTAAACTGTTTAAGTTTTCTGCAGTGAACCCTGACCATTCCTAACACGCAAGTACAGCTATTCTGAAATTTGTTAAAACTCCAAGGTATGAAATGGTTGAGTTTCAAAACTGTGGATGAAGTAAACTCCACCTAGAGACAGTCAAACGGACATAGAAGCAGGATGTGAGCACATCCACACCAAGTAGTCAAACTTGACTTGGTAAGGCTCTAGGATATATTATTGGTCTGGTGAAGAAGTCACTCAAATTAGTTAACACCTTCCTGCGTACTTGCCAACCAACAACCACAAACTGTGGTCACAAGCACAATGCAGAGTATCCATAATTCAAAATTGATAGCAGCACCATTTTAGCTAAGAGATTTCATATTTAGGACTGGTGTTTTATATAACAAGTACTCTAATCTGATGAGTATTTGAAAATGTCATGTTCAGGTATGTTCATATTAAGGTTGCATTATTTGTTCTTAGGCCTATTATTCACTGGTTCTCCTTGAACAAATACTCCTACTGTAACCAGACACAGTGGACATGGAGTAGGTAAAGAATCCAAGGAGGAAAATGTCAGTCTTCAACTTTCACGCCAGCTGAAATGTCCCACTCTATGCTCTAACATGCCTGAACATCCTTCTTTATTTGTATTTCATGCATTAGCAAACACACTAAGGATAAGAGAGTTGTTTGTGGATGAGCTCTGTGGGCAATGTATAGATCATGTGGTTGACTCCCTCATCCTTCCCAACACTCGACCTGTCAAGAGTGGGACCAGTGGATGCAGAGTCTTGCTCACTTCTAAGGCTCTCCACTCAGGGTGAGTGTCTTCTTAACCTCTACAACACTCCCCTTTCCTTGAGGTTGCGGGAGGAATATGAAGTGGCCAGGTTCGATCCCTGCTTGGCTGAGACAGCCTGGGCAGGCAACAACAATGTTTGGGCAGACTTTCTAAGTCCCAGGTTCTCCCTTTTCTGTAAGTGCTCTCTTTCATATAGGGACTCCTGGGTAAATATAAGGCAGAGATGTAAAAACACACTTAAGAGATTGTACAGCAAACATGGACCTTAGGAGATCAACTTCCTCAAACTGTGAGACTGCTTGCATTATCATACATGTGCTTTTTAATCGTTTTTCAGGACTATATTACATACAAAATCAGTAAACAGCTGCCCGCATGATAAAATGGGTTTTCAGCTATGAGGAATGTTATGTTTGGCCTTGTACAGATATTTTGTTTGGTTTTGTCAACAAAAGAAAAAATTAGCATCAACCAACAAATTACAGGGGGAAAAAACCTTCTAGAATGTTCAGTGTGTCTTACCAGCCAGGGAAATATGGAAACTACGCTAGGCTTTGTTGTCATCACAGAAGGAAAATATTGAATCAGTGTTAAATAATCTTTCATTATACTAATAGTCTAAATATTTAGGATAAGTTGGGAACCCTTAGCCTACAACTCCTGTTACACTTCACATCTTACTGATATCTTCAAGTTCAGTCAAAACACCCAGTATTTAGTTAACTATTTGGTTTATCATCCAGATGTTTCATTTAATATCTATATAAGGCTCAAAACATCTGGATAGCTGACTAAATAAGACCATTTATTCATCTTCATTTACTGGTTTTGGATAGGCACTCTATCTAAATACAGAACTTGATTTATGACTATAAACATTACAGAGCAGTTGAAAAGATATATGCAGAGGAGTTTTTCTGCCAGTTCGGTGGAAGATAAATACCATCGGTGCATCAGGAGAACTATTCTTGGCAAGTAGCTGTCGTTCAGTTCTCCATTGTCGTCTGTGGAAAATAAAATAAGAGGCAAAGAGACGGCAGGGTCAAACATTTCTTCCTTTAACATCACTTGAGAAAATAGTGTCAACAATGTCTCATAAGCCCTGTTATATTTTTGTAAGATTTATTTTTAATTATGTGTATGTGTGTAGGTGTGTGCACATGAAGCCAGAGGCATTAGTGGAAAGAACAGGCCGTTGTGAGCCATCAGACATGGCCTCTGGGAACTGAACCCTATCTTCTTTAAGAGCAGCATGCATTCTTAACCATCTCCCAGCCATCTCTCAGCCATCTCTCCAGCCCCAAGCCCAATTATCTTTTTTGCCTCTTACTTCTGCCGGGAGTTCCCTGCAAACTAAGGTACGTGGTGTCACCATTCTTCTGCTTTGCAATTGGTAAGTTTAGCAAACCTAAATTCAGGACATCCAAGTCAATTTGAACTGAAAGTAAATAGGGATTAAGTTGTCAGAACAAAGTATGGCCTTGGTCTATTTCACACACACACACACACACACACACACACACACACACACACACACAAATGTCGATTATCTGAAAGTCAAATGTAAGTGATCATCTTGTATTCATTTATGTATTGGGGTAGGGTGCCTCATGTGCGGAAGACAGAGGACAGCTTTCGGGAACTGGTTCTCTCCTTCTGCTATGTGAGCCCTGGGCACCAAACTCAGACCATTGGGCTTGGCCGCGCCTTTATTGGCCGTGCCTTTAGTTGAACCACCTTGCTGGCCAGTCATTCTGGATTTTATCCAATAGCCCTACTCTGGCTTGCTTCCGGCTTTCTATCAATTAAAGAGATTAAATTGCTAAACTGATTAATGGAAGTTCTCTTGTGTGACTCCAGTGCTCAATGAGAAAGTGGATAAAACAGACAGCAAAATAAAGGTGCATAGATGGATACATGATATATACAAATGAAGATTATAGTGGATTGTGTAATACAAAGAGAGGGGGGAGGAGTCAAAGAACAAGGCAAACATCATGGTAGCATGTATATATGCATGACAATATATATACACCGAGAAGTGGGATGGTAGAAGTGAGCATCATTTCTGATACATTATCAGGAATTTTGACTATTCAGGATGACAACTGCTGGCCTCGAAGAGAATTCCAATGAGAGAATTATGGAAGTAGAAAATGACACAAGGGCCGGGCAGCAGTGGCCCACGCCTTTAATCCCAGCACGTGGGAGGCAGAACCAGGCGAATCTCTGTGAGTTCGAGGCCAGCCTGGTCTACAGAGTGAGTTCCAGGAAAGGCTCCAAAGCTACACTGAGAAACCCTGTCTCGGGAAAAAAAAAAAAAAAAAAAAAAAAAAGGGAATGTTCCAGAAATGAGCAGTTTGTCTGGAGTATGAGCTATGGGGAGTGAAGAGAAATAAAAGCAGAGGCCAGTGAAACTGGAGAGACAGAAACCTGTTCCAGAAAGAACCTGCATGTGGGCCAAAGCAAGTGACAGCATCAAGGTGCACAAGGGACCCGAAGAGGAAAGGTTCGTACCAAACATCTCAATGCACGTGCTGAGCAGTTCATCTAGCGTTGCTGCTTTCCCGAGGCCGCTGGACCCCATGGTTATTTAGCCGTTGTCAAAAATCTGGAGACATTTTCAGCACTAGACAGATCATCTCCACAGCTGTGTCAGCCAGCGGTTCTCTCGCCCCGTGAAGCCTCTGTTCCTAATTATACTTCGAGAAAACGCTAAATGAACAAGAAGAGAAGATTACTTCAGACTAGATTTAGACCGCATCAAAGGAGTGCTTTCCTATCTCCCCTGGGCCTGCCCATCTGCCACTGACTGTATTTTCTACAAGAAAAGTGTCAGATTGACAGATGATCTCAATTGCCATAAGAATGAAACACCTGGATGGAATGTCCCTTAGCGTGCACTGTGATTTGAGACCACAGAGGTCTTCCATCTTAAATACCATCCCTTTCTGCAGCGGAACAGTTTTAAAAATAGTATCTTATACTTTCTTCATATTCTTACATAATAAGGCGTTCAGGAATGCTATACACGTTACTCAGTTAAATGCCATTGCAGATATATTTAGGGACACACACTTTTGAATACAAATGTAGTTGTAAGCATCACCCTCACTGATCACGTAAATGTTCCACAACTATAAGCACAAATTCCAAACTTTTCCTAAACTTACTAATAGTAACATTATTACTAGGAGTAGTTGTCTTAGTTACATTTTTATTGCTGTTAAGTGACTCCATAACCAAAACAACTTATAAAAGAAAACATTTATTGGGGCTCACGGTTCCAGGGTGTTAGAGTCTTTGACCATCATGCTGAGGAGCATGGTGTCAGGCAGAGGCAATACTGGAACAGTAGCTGAGACTACATCCCAATGCATGAACACAAGGCAGAGAAAGAGCCTACTGGGAATGGTGTGAGCTTTTGAAACCTCAAAGCCTGCCCCCAGTGACACACCTCCTCCAACAAGGCCACACCTCCTAATCCTTCCCAAACACTTCCACCAACTGGGGACAAAGTAGTCAAACCTAAGAGCCTATGGGGTCATTCTCATTCAAAACACCAGTAGAAGCTTTAGTGATAAGACCCAACTTCATTGATGAGACCTTCATAATGATGCTGTCAGGCAGCAATTATCATTCTCCACTTACAGGTAAACCTCAGAGACTCAACAGTTTAATCCGAGCTAACTCATCTTTCAGTCCTAGAAGCAAGATCCCCATGTTAAAATTGAACTTCTGAACTCCCTTCCCCTCATATGACTCCCACAGATATGAATAGTGCGAGCTGTCACAACATTGTCCCCTAATCTAGTATTAAGGGCACTGCTCTTTCACAGCATAGAAGGAGGATGTAACCACAACTATCATTCATAGACAATTATGAGCATCACAATTATCACTCAAGAGAATGCCATGGGGCAACTGGCTTAGAGTCAGTTATGGAAAGTGTCCCTGTTGGGGAGACAGCACCGTTTTACTTCATAGAGTCGGCCTCTGATGCCTGGTCATCATAGGACATGGAGAACCACAGAGGCCACCACGCTGTAAAGCATTATCCATTTTGGATAGTGGTTAATATGCATAAATGGGGCAGTTGGAGACTCTTCCGGTGAGCTGTTTGAGTCAGGGTTCATTTCCCTCGCCAGCCTTGTTTACTTAACTGGCAATCACTGAGCATCAGGCAATGAATTAGAAACAACAGCTACCCAGAGGAAGGAAGGAATCATTCTTTCTTCGCCTTCAGCGGGCTCACAGTTGGCTGCAGAAGGCACAGGGGGAAATGACTAATGTCCATAGGCATGGTTGTAACCAGTCAGTGAGATCAGCAAAGGATGGCAGTTGGGTGACGCTGTGCCTTGGACGTACATTGAGCCTATGGGCTTCATCTAACTCTAGATGAAAGGAAAAAATGTTCTTGTCAACTCACTCTATACAGTCATGTCTTTGTGTCTAGTGATACTCTTGAAGGATTAAAAAATGGCTTAATGAAAACAACAGGAAGGGGATTCATAGCTGTGTGGAGCCAACTCTCTTACACCTCATAACAAAGCCATCTTTATCAGCAAATGTTTCCTGATCACCTACTTTAAAAAAAAAAAAAAAAAACACCTCTCTCATGCCACCTCCCACTCAGCATGCCTTAACTCTCTTCCTGGGTTTATCTTTCTTCAAATGCCTGAAGTAATAACTCTCCATAGAAAAATTCCTCCAAAAAAGATTTATTGATTTTAGGAATGAATGGATTTATGGATGAATAAAATAAAAATTACCCAAAGTGTGTCTGAATGTGTGCAAATTTGTGAGAGAGTTAGAGATACTTAAGAGGTTTTTGGGTTTTTTTTTTTCCCCTTTTCAGTTTGATTCACTAATTTAAATTAGCTTTAAAAATTCCTGTCAGCCTTTTATATTTAACAGGGTCTATCTATAGTCATAATAAGAATTTCATACCTCTTCTAGGACATTCTGGGCAGCACTTCCCCAGTTTACCTCTAATGTATGCTCCATTAGTGTGTTTATAAGTTGAGACTGAACAATTAGCTGGAAATAGCGGTACATGACTGTAAGTGGTTTTTCAGGCCAAACCCCAAGATGATTCTTGAGTTGTCTTGGAAGTGTTGAGTTCCCCACAAGTGGCTAGAAATAACCCTGAACTAAAGGCTTGTCACCGTATTCGTAGCTATATTTGTGAACAGTGAAGAATCTGGTTCGTAATGGGCCAAGTGGACTGGGCTATTGGGTTACAATCTGTTTCTGCAATCATTAAGCCTGTCTGTGTCTCCACTTACCCTTCCATCTCCTGTACACTTACCTGTGATTACATTTCATTCACGGGGACCTTATTGTGTCTACAAATGCCTTTTCAAAAACCAAGGTTCCAGCTGGCAAAAAACAATGGCATCCATGTCTCAAAATGGACAGCAAGGAAAGACGTGACCTATAATCTCATCATGCAAAAATTTAGCTCTCACTAATGTCATGGTGTGTTTCTTTTGTCTTGTTGGGTGTATTTAGGGTTGTTTCTTATATAATCTTAATTGGTTATATTGATTAAAAAGCACTTACAGCCGGGCGGTGGTGGCGCACGCCTTTAATCCCAGCACTCGGGAGGCAGAGCCAGGTGGATCTCTGTGAGTTCGAGGCCAGCCTGGGCTACCAAGTGAGTCCCAGGAAAGGCGCAAAGCTACACAGAGAAACCCTGTCTCGAAAAACCAAAAAAAAAAAAAAAAAAAAAAAAAGCACTTACAATCTAGTTTCATACACATAAAGTTCCAGGTCTGAAGAGATGTCAAGGGCAGTTGTCATCCCTGGAAAGGGCACCAAGGAAGCAGGCTGAAGAACTGGTTCATCCAACTCAAATTATAAGTGCTCTGGAAAACCTGAAAACAGCAAAGAGGAACCTCAAGTCAGTGAATGGGAACTCTAAAGAACCTACCTGGTGCTGAGCATTCCCAAAGCTATCCCCTGAGTGCTACAGGATGTTTGAGACTTGGTGTGAACTTCAACCTTAAAATCAAAAAAAAGGGAAACATTCAAAATAGTTATTTGGTGGCATGATTTTTTTCAGTCAATTGGCAGTTTCAAAATTCTGCTTTTTAGGGGCCTGAGAAAGGGCCCAGGTGGTAAAGTGCTTTCTACGAAAGCCTGATGGCCCAAGTTTACCTCTAGATTCGGGTAAAAACTGTGAGAAAGAACTGGCTGTACAAAATTGTCCTCTGACCTCCGCACATATGCCAAAGCATGTGGACCATCCCCACCCCAGAATAATAATAAACAGAATTTAATTTTTTTTAATTTGCCTTAAAACAACTCATATGTGTTTCCCCAAAAAGGTTTTATTTACGTAGTGTAAAATCTTACTTTGGCCGGGCGGTGGTGGCGCACGCCTTTAATCCCAGCACTCGGGAGGCAGAGCCAGGCGGATCTCTGTGAGTTCGAGGCCAGCCTGGGCTACCAAGTGAGTTCCAGGAAAGGCGCAAAGCTACACAGAGAAACCCTGTCTCGAAAGACCAAAAAAAAAAAAAAATCTTACTTTGGTTGTATACTTATCTCCATGAGTTACTCATTAAGAGTTTCCAAGAATTGACCCCGGATGTTAACAAATCCCTAAGCACTTTGCTGTGGTTAACACCACTCTGATCCTAAATCACTTGGTATTGTCTCAACAGGGATGTCAGTGTTGTTGTAGTTTGGGTTGTTTAGTCTCCTGGTAGTTTAGAACTTACTGTAGTGTTGATAGTTCAAACTATTTCCAAGGGAAAAAAAATCATTCTAAATGGTCAGTAGGGTTTTGTTGAGTATGGTTTCCAAGGCACAATACATTCACATAGCAAAAAAGACTTACATTAATTTAACTTATGAAGAGTCTATCATCAAAAATATCTTACCCCAAGTTTAGCTAGGATGATCACACATGCACTCAATTTTAAGAGCAGTAAGTAGAGGCCAATTTCATGCCAGTTTTAATTAATATTTATAGATATAAATGAGTACTTCAGGCTCTTGACTTAGAACTTTTCAAAAAAGAAAATCAGGTTTCGACATTCGCCAGTCACAAGGGAAGTTTTACTTAAACCTGACACTTTTTAAATTGAGTATTTAATTTGAAATATAGAACCACTTTGCAGATGTGGCAGGAAGCGGTGGCATTTGAAGACAAAAGAAGTGAAATGGAATGAAAAATATTGTTGCTTTGGAGTAGGGTGCGGTGGGTAGATGGCCTTATTGGTGATGGAATTCCATTCCTGAAAATTCTCAAGCCAAAGCTGAGAAAGACTGTCAGGCTGTAGACTAAGTTCCTAGTGCCAGGTACCTGGGAACCACACCAACACCACACCGAGGGTTTCTCCTAGCTCCAGGATAGGAGAATTCATTATCTAATGAGAAGTAGTTTGAAATGATGTTAACAATATTAGAACCTCCAAAGATTATCTTGTCTATAGCATTCTTTCTTCCCAGAAAATCTTAAACAAAATCTCTTAAAGACCCTCTCTTCTCATGGTAGATATTATCTCTATACATATATGAACGTGGTTTTTTCCCCCTTCTTATTGTATTGTTTGGGGGATAGAGAACAGGGTCTCACTATGTGTCCCTGACTGTCCTGGAACTCACTGTGTAGACCAGGCTGGCCTCAGACTCATTGAGATCTGCCTGTCTCTATCTCTTGAGTGCAACCTTGCCCAACAAAACACACATTTAAAAAAAAAACTGACCTTCATATGGAGACAAATTTTTGTATGTACCTAAATCCTGTACTAAAACAGGTGACAATGTTAAAAAAGCCTTAATCTTGAGTCCTATAAAAGAAATAATACTGAGGCTCTGAGAGAGAATTTATGTGACAAATACTACTAAGGATGTATTAAATATGAGATGCTAAGCAAGGCACTAGAGTGGCTGCTGAAGGGCAGGGAAGAGAGGAGATGGGTTGATGACCCAGAGACATACAGCTCTTGTTTCTATGCTGTAACAAAGAACTAGAGAAGCGGTTATGATAAAATAAAGTCCGAAGCAGAGCACAGAGTATGTAGGGAGGGGTTACTTATTGAGTCTAGGAGCTGGGAGTGTTTTAGCTAGGCAAAGAGTAGGCAAGGAGACAGCAGTAGGGAGGATGTGAATGACATGTGGGATAACCGAATATTGGATATGGCAGAGACCAGGACTAAAGAGGTAGAAGTAGTTAATTCCCGAGGAGTAGCATAAGCTACAAAGGAGTACAGAATAAAGGACAAGGGGAAACTATTCCTCTAACAGTGAACAGGAAAGAAGAGGGATCATGCTGGAATCATAAAGATTCTTACAGCTATAGCATGGAGAAGAGACTGAAGAAGCATATACCAAAGATGGGGACTGAGGCCTGGGGCTATAGCTCAGTCGGTACACAACTTGTCCAGCATGCACATAAAGTCCTGGGTCTGATTTCTAGCACCATACAAACCAGTGGTTCTCAACCTGTGGGTCTCAACCCCTGGAGGGGTCAAATGACCCTTTCACAAGGGTCACCTAGGACCATCAAAACCCAATATATTTACATTACAATTTATAATTGTAGCAAAATTATAATTATGAAGTAGCCACAAAAATAATTTTATGGCTGTGGGATCACCACAACATGAGGAACTATATTAAAGGGTCACACGCAGCACTAGGAAGGTTGAGAACCACTACTATAAACAAAGCATGGTGACATATCCCAGTATTCCCAGCACTTTGGAGGGGGAGGTAGAAGGATCAGGAGTTCGTGGTCACCTTAGATAATGAAAGATGTTGTTGGTTGTTTTTGCTCATTTGTCTTTTTTACTCTTTGGTCCTTTGGGGGCCCACCACCCAAATTAATCACACATGCAGGCTTAGTCTTAATTATAAATGTCCGGCCTTAGCTTGGCTTGTTTCTTGCCATCTTTTCTTAACTTTAAATTATCCTATCTCTTTTTTGCCTCTGGGCTTTTCTGCTGTGGGATGGTCTGTATGTCAAATGTGTTGCTGATTGGTCAGTAAATAAATCACTGATTGGTCCGTGGCCAGGCAGGAAGTATAGGCGGGACAAGGAGGAGAATAGAGCTGGGAAGTGGAAGGCTGAGTCAGAGAGACACTGCCAGCCGCCATGAGGACAAGGAAGATGTAAAGTACCGGTAAGCCACAAGCCATGTGGCAAGGTATAGATTAATAGAAATGGATTAATTTAAGCTGTAAGAACAGTTAGCAAGAAGCCTGCCACGGCCATACAGTTTGTAACCAGTATAAGTCTCTGTGTTTACTTGATCGGGTTTGAGCGGCTTGGGACTGGCGGGTGAGAGAGATTTGCCCTGACTGTGGGCCAGGCAGGAAAACTCTAGCAACACTTTTCCTTTATTTCTTTCTTCCTTTTTTTCTTTCTTTTTTTCTTTCTTTCTTTTTTTCTTTTTTTTTAACGTCTGTATATCTCACTTTCACTCTTACTCCATGGCTGCCTGTGTGGTTGGGTGGCTGGCCCCTAGCACCTCTCTCTTCTTGTTCTCTTGCTCTTTTCTCCTTCTTTTCTCAGGTTTCTCCTTCTATTTATTCTCTCTGCCTGCCAGCCCCACCTATCCTTTCTCCTGCCTCGTTACTGGCTCTTCAGTTTATTATTAGACCCATCAGGTGTTTTAGACAGGCACAGTAACACAGCTTCACAGAGTTAAACAAATGTAACATAAACAAATACAGCACATCTTCACATTATTAAACAAATGTTCCAGAACATTTAAAAAAATGTAACACATCTTAAAATAATATTCTACAACAGAAAGGCAAGCCTGGAATAAATAAGACACTGTCTCAACAACAACAACAAAAAGATGGCACAGGTCCTCGCTGACATCTCATCTACCTTTGCCTGGTCAAGTGACAAGGACATTAAGCCACCAAGGGAAATTAGTAGAGATAATAACAGAGAAATGACTTCTCTCTTACCCTTTGCATTGACCCAGGTTATTTCATCTGACAGCTGCAACCCATGACTCACCATGATCATCACCTTCCCAACCAGGCTTCCCACATCTCTGGCTAGCCATTCACACCCTCTAGGAGATTTAAAAAAAAAAAAAAAAAAAAAAGCTGCAATATGGCACTGCTATTCTCTTGCTAGTTCCCACTTTCTAGTTAGTGGGTTTTGTTTTTTTCTGGTTTGGTTGGTTGTTTTTTATTGTTGTTGTTGTTTTTGTTGTTGTTTGTTGTTATCATTTGTTATTGTTGTTGGTTGTTGCTGTTGTTTCAACTTCGGTCTCGTTACTTTAGCTTTCAGTCCCAGTTTTTTCAAGCTCATCCCTCAGTTCTTTGGATGTCGCTTTCTACCCTGTTTCCTCTGGTCGGTTACCCTTCCCAGGTTGCTCCATCAGTCTCATGCTCATCACTGTCAAATCTGTTTGTGTCACAGAGCTACTGGGACAGTTTGAACACAGAGCACGGGCCCTGTGCTTACAGCAAGGATGAATCATTGTCCACAGGCTCTAATGGATAACATAAAGAATAAAATCCCCCACACTTAGGGATGGCTGACCATTAGTCCAAAGGTCATTTAACAATGAAAACACTGTATTCTTCAACTCTAAAGCTACTTTCCATTCTTGCCTTTGACAGGCTTATTTAATAAGATTTTCCTGGGTCTTAAGTTATGTCCTGCCTGCTCATTTATCACTTTCTTCTAAAGGATTTTACTAAATTAATAGGACATTAACTAATATTAATAGGATTTTTTTTGTCCTGAATTTTTTTAAAAAGCAGTAATAGCATGTAAAAATACCACTTATTGCTGGAAATATAGCATGAATGTTACAATGCTGGGGGGAATATCTATGTTATAGTTACTCTAATAAAATGCAAAAAGCTAAGCATTATTATCTTCACTGCATAAATAAGAATACAGAGGCCTAAAGAGGTTGAATTGATAGTCCAGTAGCATATTACCCTCTAATTCCCAAAGCCCTAGTCTGACTCCAAAATATATCCCTGCCCACCGTGATCTGAAAACCTTTTAGCCTGTTAAATCCATTTCTAGGCACTGTCGAGAGCACATGCTCACTACTTCCTGTGCTGACTCCTAAGCATTTATCACTAGCTATGTTGTCTATAGATGAATAAGCTCCATTGTCACAGCAGGCTGGGCAACCCAGGGGAACACTGGTACCAAGTACCAAACAGGAGCAGCTCAGAGTTCATCTCACTCACAAGACCTCGTTGCATTTGGGGCAGCGGTAAGTGGAACAATAAAATAGCAAAGTTCAGCTGCGTGTTTTTTCCTTACTCGCTGGCATTTACTACTGGCAGTCAAACTACCATACTTAGTATTAGCTGAGGCAAATTAAATACCAAAGTCCAGGGGATGCGTTAGTAATAAACCATAAAACACCGAAGTCCAACCCAAAGGTGCTTTCCTGGCATTTGGAAGGATCTGGGTGGGAAACAAAGCCATGTGCACACGCTGAAGACACTTGTGGGCGGGTGATATACAGATGGATGTGTTCATCCACACCAAAGGGTTCGGACTTAGTATGCTAACCCCATATTCGAACTGAAAATGACATTCCAAAATGAGACTCGCAGCTAGAAAATGTTTTACCCCAGAAATTCAGATTTGGGACTTTGGAAAAACAGTTGTATTTTCTAATATAAAAAAAAAAAATCAGTGTTTTCTTCTCAAGATGCTTATCTTGTCCTCATAGTAATTCTGTTGGTGGTCCTAAAACCTTAGAAAGATCTGGTATGAAGTCACCTGAAATAGTCACATCCCTGCATTCCTTTGATTATTTCATTTACTTCAGAGTGAATTCGATAATGATGATGATGGTGATGGTGGTGATGATGATGGTAATTGATGATGATAGTGGTGACGATGATGATAATTGATGATGATGGTGATGGTGGTGATGATGATGGTAATTGATGATGATAGTGGTGACGATGATGATAATTGATGATGATGATGGTGGTGATGATGATGGTAATTGATGATGATAGTGGTGACGATGATGATAATTGATGATGATGATGATGGTGGGGGTGATGATGATAATTGATGATGGTGGTAGCGGTGAAGGAAGAGGACGTGGAGAAGGGGTCTTTTTTAATGATTTCCATGCCAGTCACTGTTCTAAGTTTCTTATCTCCCACCTACACCCCCAGCCCCCCCCCCAATCCACTCTAGAGGCCCTGTCCCACTCCAGCACTCCAGCAGCAAATAAAATGCAGCTAAAATCTTATTACTTAATTACTACCAAAATACACTGAACCCTCGTGAGATGAACTCTGAGACAATTCCTTGCCCCGACCCTCGACCCTCCCCTTCTCCCCACCCCACTCAGGGCTTCACACTTTCTAGGCAACTCTTCTACCACTGGCCACACCCACCACCCAGGCCTTGGATTTCATTAAATAACTATTTGGGGGGGGGGGCTTGTTTACTTTCTGAGACAGGGTCTCAGTATGTACAAGTTGGCTTTGAACTTGCTGTGTGGTCCAGACTATCCTAGAAATCATGATTCGGCTACTCCAGACTCCCCATTCTGGGATTATAGGCATACTCCACCATGTCTAACTCAATCTTTGAATTTTGAAAAAAAAAAAAAAAAAAGCACAAATCAATCCAGGAGGGATGGTGCTATCTGGGAGGCTGGTTTAAGTCCAAAAGTTTAGATTAACCTGGGCAATGTAGCTTGATTCCAATCTCAAATACAATAAAACTGCATGAATAAATGAAAACATTGAAAAAAAACCCATAGGGGTAATAGGTAATAAAATTAGAAAGCTGATCATGAGAGAGAAGGGAGATGTCCTGAGGTGGATGGAAAACAGAAAGAGCAACAAAATATATGTGATAAGAAAACGTGATGAACCAGGTGGTGGTGGTGCAAGCCTTTAATCCCAGCGCTCGGGAGGCAGAGCCAGGCAGATCTCTGTGAGTTTGAGGCCAGCCTGGTCTACAGAGCGAGATCCAGAAAAGGCGCAAAGCTACACAGAGAAATCCTGTCTCAAAAAAAAAAAACCCACCAAAACCTCTTATACGGATTATTTTTCTTCTCCAACTGAAACTGTACTATTATGTGAAACTAACACATAAGTGAAAACATTTGTTCCTATTTAGAAACCTGCGTGTTTATAGTACTCTTTTATGAGATGGTAAAAATCTCGGTTTAAATTGCTTCTGAATCGGGGATTTGGAGCTAGACTTTTTATTGGAACTGACTAAAAGCCAAACATAAGAACAAAAAAAAAAAAGTGTCTTTCAAATTCCTCCTTTGCTTTTAGTTACATTTAGACAGCTTGAAGCATCCAACTGGAGGGCTCCCCTTAAGCAACGCCGCTTGTTCTCTTTTTTTTTTATTTCAGATACTTATCCTACCACAAATATTTCTTCTTTTTTCTAAAAGGAAAAGAAATCAAGAGACTGGGACATGGCTCATCCTCACACCTAAGACATCAACTTCCTTGCTCCTGAAATCATAGCACCTACCTACCGAAAAGAAAGCAGAAGTTACTAGATCATTCGGTGGCATTGTAGGTCCCATTTAACTTTCTGTAAGGTTCACTGTTATGGTCCAACAGGAAAGAAGTCATTCCATCTTTCTCAGCCGAACAAAAGGAAATCCATTTGTGAAAAGTTAGAGAGTGAACCACAAGGTGATTTGAAAATGAAGAAAGTCTTGGACTGATGAAACATTCCCAACTGAATTTGCCAAGTAGTTTTCTGGACTTT